TTTCGGGGCAAATTGCGGAAGTTGAGTGAGCTCTGTTTGACAGAACGGTCCTCATTTGTTATTATCAACTGATAACTGGCCCTCATTTATGTTACAGCAGAGCGTAAAAACAGGAGATTTTCTGTGGACATTGGTGAGAAGTTTGTCCTGATATTTGTCACCATGAGGCCTATATATTAAGATATACGGTCACTGACATTTTGTAAATAATTGACACTTAACAACAAGAAATGTGATCATAACAACTTGCCCGATATCTTATAGAGCAATGTTCTTTGACACAACAATTATACAAAACTTTTCATTATACATGTTTTATACATGTATATACATAATGTATATTCACAGGTCCTTTTTTTTTTTTTTTTTTTTTTTGGTGGGTTTAAGAAAAAGAAATGTTTCTGTTTTTTGTTTTTTTTTGCTTTGTTGCATTGTTTCTTTTTGGGGGTTTTTTTTTTGTTGTTATTTTTTTTCATTTTGAAGAAAAATATATCACACATATTGAATTTTCTTTTTGTGACTGAAAACATTTTTTTTTTCATAACTGTATCAACCTACCCCAAAGATAACAGGTATAAAGTCACTAAGTGGCAAATAAAAATCTTTTATGTGTGGCCTAGATGTGTCCTGTTTAAGTCTATTGTTAATTCAAGGGTTATCGAATCAATGGAACAGCAATATACTAGAGTCCAGAGGAGCAGATTCATCTGACACTATTATACAGACCCCAAATCTTCCATACATGAAGACATAAAGTGCATCTTTGTTGTAGTAATAGATACATGTATCATAATAAAAGGATTCATACATATAGACTTTATTAGATGAATTTAAAAGATTCATTGACCAGTACAATATACAAAGGAAATATTGACCAAATAAATTAAGATATCAATAGATTTTAAAATAACAAAAGCCATAAATATTGTCATCATTTTCACATTATTAACAAGTTTATTCCAATGACACCAGCATTTGTTGATCGTCAGTTAATTATGAGATGATTTATAAAATCATTACTGGTGTTCATGTTTTGTGAGAAGAGCTCATTCAACCTAGTGTAGAGTGTTGTCAACCAATTAAGTCATATTCACTTAGACATTTAGATATTTGAAGCTATGGAAACAAAACATCACACGAATGGCGGCGGACCGAGTGCTAAACCCGTCGGACTAGTAATCTAATGATCACAATCCGCATTGGTTCAAACCCTGTCAGGGGCAAGCCAGTGTTTCCTTGAGCAAGAAACTTTACATTCATTGCTTAGTACTGGTTGGTTCCAGGAACGGATTCGAGAGTGTTTCTATAAGCTTACAGCTTCAAGCACAATCAAACTTAAATAAATTTGTATAAACTAAAAACATCACATATGTGTGTTTCTGTTAACCTACAAACATCTTATTATTTTAACAAATTTGTGAAATCTAAAATACTTTCAGGAGTTTTTAGTAAAAGCAAAATATTGTAACACTTGTAAGTAAGTATTCATAAACATTGTAAATAAGGTTTCTGCAGCAATGAGAGCTGAACTGGCAATCATGTACAGACTCTGCAGTGTTAGAATCTAATTTTTTATTGCACTCGCAAATATTTGCTAGTTCAAAAAATTTGGTCATTCAATTAAACATTGATAAGACAAATTTTTTCTATATATTAAAAATTTATACTATGTACTTTTAAAAATACAATGCAGTAATCAATATAAGTAAAATAAATCATTGGAAGTACTTTTATATATCACATGCAGATTCAAAAAAAAATTTGTAGGAAAAAATAAGTGACGATACTTGAAATGGCACATTTTAACTACATTTTGTATAGGGTTTAAATTTCTACAGGCACTTGCTTATTTGCTTAACTTGTGTTAAATTTGAGGCCTTGGTCCAAGATTTTAAAGAATTTTTTTTCTTAGCTCAAACTCAGACATCCAGTTTTTGATTGGTCAAAACTCAGCTTTGAATGTACACTGACCAATGAAAATCCTGAGATTTAAGACTGAACTGAGAAATAAGTTTAATTAATAACCTTGAGGCTAGGAATCTATAGTGAAAATTCGTGACCTGTTTATTTCAATATTTTAAGACTGACATAATTATTATAGCTAAATCTCTCTAAACAATACAGGTCACCAGACAGACAAAAACATTTTTCTTCTTTTTATTTTCAAGCCATATCTTTGAAAGCATAATGACGAAGTGATAAATTGGTCAAAAAAGTAATTTACACTTTCATTACAAACTTTAAATTCTGAGAGTTCTTCTGACTTCCTTTAAGTTAAAATCCATTGATCAGTAGAAACTCCTAGCAAATTCAATCAAACTCCTGTCACTTTTGTTTGGATTCCATCCGTCTCTCCTAAACATGGCAGTTTTCCATCCCTAGCATCTTGTAATTCAATACAACAACATAATTACTTCTTTCAACTTTGAAATGTAAAATGAAATATATGTCCACTGCATCAAATTTCTTTCTATGCTTTGATAATATAAATTGCAACAATCAGTTATGTATTACCAAGATTTATGGATATTATGGATATTATGCAATTTACTTCACAAAGAGCAGTGCAGACAGTATTTTTTTATATAAATACTCATGTACTTTACAACTTTAATTTTTTGAACAACAAAGCCATTGTATTATCACCTGGTAAACTACAGTAAACTACAGTTTAGAGTGGTGGTGAGTAATATACATTTATTATAATAAAGAATGTGAAAAGCTGATCTGCAAGGTGATACCATCCAATTCTTTGTCAAAAACTGGTATATCAAAATATAATCAAGAACACTAGGAGTATTCTATTCTTGCACCTTTTTCTAGCGTTAAACTAATATAATCATTCTATAGTACTAGTATTACACACCAACAAAAAACTCCCCCAGAAAACACAACTAAAACACTGAAACAAAATACCTAAAGAGTCTACAAGGGTTTTAAAACAAAATGAAACATACCTGAAACCATTACTTTATAAATGATTTCAAACATAATAACGCATAATTATGATTAGAAAAAAATACCCGGTTAAAGTGTCTACATGGGATCTGTGTCTCTATAAATGAAAAGGCTTCCATAAATATTATCTGGAGTAGTCTTAATTAAACCAATTAAACACTATCTGTGATTCAGAGATACAATAATTGTTATTTCCCAATGTAAAATAACACTAAAAAACTATAAATTAGAATATTTCATAATATTTCTACAATTGAAATGAAAAATAAGACTTTAGGCAAATCATTTTATAACATGCAAGCTGTTTTAAGGTTCACAGAAAATTCAAATCAAATATTATGAATGATTTATATAGCTCTAGTTCCATACTAACCTGTGTTGTGTAAACCTAGTTGTAATTAGAAACAAAATCAACAGTTTGGTATAACTAACTTTTGGACAGCTAACAAAAACAACAAGTTGCCTGAGCTGTGTCCTAAGTAAATGTGAGTCTGCAATCATGCATGATTAGGCAGACTCCATGCTGTCAGATATTTAATTCATTTTGAAACTTGCTGAAATTAGCAACAATTTTAGTCTAAACAAGCGCATATTGTCCATTATCTTAAGACTCCAGTGGGAAGTGGGTAGTGCATGTGTAAGATTATATTATAACACGATCAAAATACAATAATAATATTTAGTGTATTAACATTAACATTTCAGACTTCAGTAAAATCAGTAAATGCAGTTTTAGTTATCTTTTCATGTTCTTGAATTTTGTCTATAACCATCACTTTATATGAAACGTATCAATTGTATAGTATAATTCTCCATGATATATGTTCATCATAAATATACAACAATCCTACATGTAACAAGACAAATATTAGCTGTGAAACATTTCATTAAATGTATTAGGCATTCTCACCAGATGGTGATGACCAATTGATAAAACAAGTTGAATATAGCATCAATAATAGATTATATTAAATGTCATATTTTATTGATACACACACCACAGCCTTGCAGCATGTTCTCCTATAATGCATGGAGTAATACTAAACATGATAATTCAAAAATATCATGACCCATCCCCCAACACTAAAGGGCTCTATCAAACAATGTTGAAAACTTTATAATTTGCAAAATTAGTGATTAGTGACAATAGTGTGGAAAGGAACAATCCCATATCTTGTTTCTCCTAAAGCAAAAATTTAATACATACATGTATATTAATTACATTAATATTTAAATTTACAGCATAGCTTAATCTATATCCACCCAATTTTTGGCCAGGTTCTAAGTCACATCATTACACTGAGACAATCATATGGCAACTTTCCAACATAAGTGATAAAAGGGAGAATGCTGGTGCCCCTCCATTAGCACCTTACATATTATGATTATCATATAATTATTATATGTGTTTTAACTGAATAACTTCCTAAAATAAAAGCATCCAAATCCCTGGCAAGATTCGAAATAAACAACTTTTACCTATTTAGCCATTTAGGATCTTTAATGTGATTTAAGAATGTAAATTAAATTTCTCTTATATGAAAAGTCAGTTAATCTATTCATTATAAATCATAAATGAACAAAATCAGTATTTTGTAAGTTATTTGAAGACATTGAAGTTATTATTAGACTTTGTTACTAATTCCGTCAGACAGCAGGCTCAACTGTTCTCAATGCTTGACAGTAAGAAAAGGGGCTTGACTCAGTAAATGAAAACTGTATTGAACCTGTGCCCATCTTATTAGGTAATAACAAAGAACAAATGCGTTAAGTTTCATTCCTTTCAGTAGTTTTGGAGATACCAACTTGTAGGCAACAACTTAAAGTGTAACAGTAAAGCGGACACAGGGTCCTATACTGGAGACAGTACAATAGCTCTTCCTATTCTCTAACTAGTCAAATAAAAACTGCTGATGCTGACAGTCACAACACCAAATAACAGATTCAGAGAAACATGTGGATAGCACAGAATATCACAAGTTGTGTTGAACAAAGGGAGGTAACAAAGTTTGTTACTCATGCTTTAAGATACATTAACTTACCCATCAAGAGAAATGTTAGCAGAGAGTATGAACCAGGTGTAACTATGTCAGCCTGATGGTGGATCAGCATTTCTCTCTGAACATCTCGTAGTTTAGAGTTTTTTAGAGCTGCAACTCCTCTTTTAAAATCACGGAAGTCTTCAATTGTACCATCATGTGCAGTTAGAGCCTGTAGTTGACTGTCAGATAGTATACTTAGCCGCCATATATTCTCTACACCAATAACTCGTAACCTGTTTAAATATATATAAAAATCATAAATATTGGTCTTTCAAGTACTAATATCAAAATAAATTTTACATACAGTCTCTGTCTTATCATACTCTACATTGTACATTATTAACAACTCAATTTTAATATTATGATAATGTTATCACCTAAGTTGATAATGCACTGCTTTAAATACAAAGCAGCGTAACTGTGATATATCTATACAATTTTTGCACTAAAATAGTTTAATTAATTTGCAATTACCAATTTTCAGCAAGAAAGACAGTCCTTTGGAACCTACAATATTGCAGGGATTAAAAATCTGATAAAGGAAATTGATTTAATTATCACACATCAGTCTACCAGCCACCAGGTGAGATTTATTTTTCAGTAAAAGAAAAATAACTGAAATTTTTCTAACTGCTGAATACTAATTTGAGTTTTACTCTTCTAAAGACCAATAACAAACATACAGCATAAATAACTATTTCTAGATAGTGAAAATAACTAACAGTTAAGCCATTCTTGCTTTTACTATTTGAAAAAAAAATTCTTTACCGTTAAACTTCATGGCAGAATCTGTACATTTTGCATGAAAACTTCAGGCTATATAAAACTGTACAGCACTCTCCAAAATGACTTCAAATTTCAATATTCTAATCATCTAATGTGAGCAGCCTACCAAGCAGAATATTTTGAAGGGAAAAGGAGAAAACAAATTCTTTTTTTTCTCAAATGAATAATTTATGTAGAAAGTACTTACCTATCAATGTAGTCTTCTGCAAGTCCCTTTGTTCTGAGCCAAGTCTTCAGGACTGTTTCTTGTTTCAGTTTGTCAAGAGCATCTTTAATTCTAGCTTTTCCATAGCTGGATAACTTTTGGAATGATTTGGCTTGATCTATGTCAAAATGAACCAGCGCATCTAAGTAACTTACATCTGTAATAAATGAATAACAATGATAAATTATAACCATATTTTCATATAACCTTAAACTGTAAGACATACTTGTATTACTAAGCTGTCATTGAAATCTGGGACATAATATAATGGGATAAGCAACTTCTGTCTTTATTTCTGTGTTTTTTTTACTTTTTTTGCAACAACCCCTACCCCAAAAATTGTGAATTTTAACGCGATAATTTGTCAAATTGTGAAAAAATAAACAATAAATCATCATCTGCAGTCACTTTATTCATACATTTAATAATTATGTTCATAGTTTAAGCTTTCTTCTTTTTATTCCCTCAAATATATCAATCAAATTCTCAAGATTGTCATTTGTCAGTTCATTATTTTGTTTGGTACTGAAAAGCAATTTTAAATGCCAATTGTGACTTTTTTACACATTTTTGTGAATTTTTTATGTTTTTTGGCATTGTGAGGATGCCTTATTTTGAGGTCAAAATCAACCCAAAAAAATCACTGTCTTATGTTGATGTCCAACTGACCGCTGATTGATCTATAAATAGTGATTAATTTATTTTATGATTATATATAAATACCAGGGTCATTCAGTTCTGATAATGATAATTTTGCCTTTCATTTCGAAATTGATTCACATATATATGAGGTCATTTGAATGTCGCTTAAGCCTCATGGCCATGGTAAGCCTAGATGAACAGTGTGTGTATATAAAGATAGAGTTTTTGAGTGGGAAAACGGGAAAGGAAATCCATGAACAGTTACGTGAAGCTTGCGTTGAATCTGCTGTTTCATTTAACATTGTTTATAAATGGATTAGGTGATTTGCAGATGGAAATTTCGATGTTGGTGCCTAAATATGCACTTTTACCTTCTGTGTTTTTAAATTTATTCAATGCCTGAGGCTGAAGACACTCAATTGTTGTTCTAAATATATGCAAACTGAAATCTAGAGAAAAAAAAAATCTTTATCATATAAGACACAGGCTTTATGAATGAGTATGCTTTTGGGATTTTTTTGTTGTTGTTGTTTTTTTGTTTTTTTGGGGGGTGGGGGGGGGGGGGGTTACTTGCCAGGGGAGGAGGATTGTGTAAAATAATACATGAAGGTCCCTATTGATCATGAATAAGATCATAAAGACACATGCTTGATATTTTGAGGGTTATATGGGTTCTTTATACCCAATGTGCCAAACAGGTGTTGATTTAAGTCAATAAAGAAAATCCAGTTTAGAGCCCCTAAATCCTGCTCATTATAGTTGTCACATGTCATATGTCTCTTCCGACATATCCTCATTAGGTACTTTATACCGGGAGGTACTTTGTACCGGGAATGTCCAGATATTACAAATAATATTTACATAAAAAAAATCTTTTGTATGCAAGTGTTTTTCACATTAATTTCATACAAAATTTAGCATTTTTTAAAGAAAGTTCAAAGTTTTAATAACCCTATTCACATAAATGTGTTTTACGTATAAAAACCAGTAGTATTGCTAATGATTTAGACCCAACATGATATTTTGAATGTGTGTGCAAATGCTTATCAAATTGTTACCCTTTTACTGTGTGATAACTGATAAATATTGAATAGAACTTTAGTATAATTAGCAGTAATGGACCATTCACATACGTTTTTAACTTTTTATTAATTGCTTAAAAGTTAAATTCCTGGTATTAAGTACTTAAAAACAAAGATGGCTGCCACTATACAGAACTATATTTTTGTTGTATAGTTAAAATTTCTTTTGGATAATTGTTAATTTTATCAAAAAATGGTAGCTTCTATAGTATATACCTATTTCATACTAGATTTGTTCTGTATTATATGATGGTGGGCCTTTATAAGGCTTACATTCCTGGTAGATTATAGTACAACCAGGATACATGTAGTGAATAGAAAGTAGATGTGATACAGATGACCCTGTGTCAATTTACACTTTGTGTGGATTAAATATGAAAAACCATTACCTTCTTCAAAAAATAAATGGGCAAATTCTGACAACTGATTACTCCCAATCCATTCTGTGTATTTTCTATCAGCAACAGCAGCCTTTCTCTCAATTTGTATCATGTAAATTGAAACAAATATCCCCATGACAATTGTGCCAATAATGACACTCTGCTTAAAGTCATTTTCCATAACTTGAATGCTTCAGATAAATACAATTTATGTTATCATTGTTTCAAAATTAGATTGGCTGAAACATACACTTTTAAACCGGAAGTTTCCAAGGTAAACAATGATCAGTGTTACTGGAGTGGTTTTGCCAATATTGAACTGAACTTTCTATGTAGAAAAAAACGTCTAGGGATCTGGAATAAAAAGTAAATGTTTATTTTGTTAATAAGTATTAGTAGCTATATATTCTTAATTTTACAGCATTTTCGGTCATTTATGAATACGACAAAGTATTTTCTTACATTAGAAAAAATATTTAAAGTTTAATTAGATCTTGCTGTCGGCAGTAATAAATGTCATTACTTTTCGCGACCAATTATTTCTTTTTTCATACATTTTTGTATTTGATCAATAATTATTTTATATATAATGAGTGACTTTATTTTGAATTTTACTTCTCAGCCCCAAACAACTTAAGAACAGACAAACAGTTTCATGTTTGTTTGTCTAACAGCTAGTACCAGGACTTTTCCATCCAAAATATCTAGTAGAATGTGATTGTGAGTCATGTATGTCCAGCCTATGTGAGTCATGTATGTCCAGCCTATACGCACTGTTAAGGCTTGTGGTACAGCATTTTTATCAATAATAAATAAATACAAAGATAGAGACGGTAACTTTCATGTCTTAATTTAATACATTTTCACAAAAAATGAACATATATACAGTGTTGCATCTAGAATTTCAAAATTATGGGGGATTGTCCCCCACTCAACTGAAAAATGTGGGGGATTTGAAAAAAAATGTGGGGGACATTTATTTTACGTTCAGGCATTTTTGACAGCTATCGTCCGCTCAAAAACAAAAGTAGAAAAAATAAAGTATTGACAAATACTACAAAACACATGCGAGATGACCCACTTCAGACTGTTACACGTGATTTAGTACGCACTTTAGTCATAACCACGAGTGAAAACAAACATGACTGAAGCATTCAAGATGGGTCTCTCTTATAGCCTTCAAGATACGATGTAGATACATTGTAAATTGAATTAAGTTGAAACGATCGTCAGATGCGCGACTTGGCGCGCATTGACTTTATTAGAATGTGCGATCTGCATGAAAAATGGGCAAATCGCGCAATCGCGCGGCCTAGATGCAACACTGTGCAGGGTGTTTTTTTGGCCGATTTTATAGCCGTTATTAGGTCATATTCCCAATTGAAAATAGTATGTTTTTTTTCCCAATTTTGATACACAAATTCCCAATCGAAAACTTAAAAAAAAAAATTTAAAAAATCGATCTTTGGGGAACGTAAAATTAAGCAAATAGCCGGCGTCTAAACAACCCACGTGTTAAGTAGACGCTTGATTTCTCATAAAAAGTTTATCGAGCGTCTAACGATACTGACGACCTTCGAAAGTGAAAGTAAATCAAAATGTCTCAAACGTTAAAAAAACTTAAAAAAAACACTGGTAAAGACAGAAAAATTGATTTAATATTTAAGCAAGCGACTCTCTTGGAAAAGAGTTGTACTATGAAAACGGTAACGGCGAATGAAACTGCAAGTACTAGTGAGAAATTGCCTTCAACGGTGACACAATGATGTTCCTTCACGGCGTTTGTAAAGTTCTAGCGACAAGTTTAAGTCAGATACAGTTGTCCCTGTCCCTGATCAAAGGTTATTTAGTTCCAACAAATACGAGTTGAAGTATGAATTGTTGTATTATAGTGGTGCAAAAGTTGGATATTGTTGCAAATAATGCCGCTAAAATTCCCAATCTCAAGGGTATGGGTCATGTTCCCAAAATACTGGAAAAAAACCCTGCTGTGTATATTTTTTCTAAGTAAATTTAACGGATGATGTTCGGCCATTTATATTATGACAAGATATCGGATAGATCTATCAGAAATAAATTCATGCACCTTTAATTTAATAGTTTTTGTAAACCAATGAAAAGTCCAGAGTTATTTTCATTTCATAATTATTAAAAATACTTTGCCATAATCTAACTATCACTCGAAATTGACCCACAGACTTTAATGTCAATTCAAGTCCATGATTGACACAAAGTGACGATAGCATCCAAGATTATGCAATCATGAAAAACAGGTGCGCTGCATCTTTAAATGGTGCGCAAACAACCAGCTTGAAATTTTCAATGCCCACTAAAGTGTACGAGATGAAATTTATATTTTAAATGTATTACATCTACATTGTCCATAGAAATGATTTAATGTTTAATGTTTCAGTTTATTTCTCTTTGTATTTTCACATGGACTTTAATTATTAAAGTCCGTTATTTCAGAAGAAAATACTTTTGATCATCAAATGCTAAAAATTAATATACCTACTGTAATTCAGATAAAGTTTTCTGTAATTGATAAAGTTTTCATGATATTCAATAAATTCTTCTTTTAGAAACACAAGTTTTCATATTTTTATTATTGTTTTAGGTTATTTATTTTAAGTGCTGTACGGCTAGCCTAAACAGTGCCTATAGGGTAGTCGTAAGTGACTAACATATGGCTTGCAATCTAGGCCTGTACCACTATAAATAATTTACCAGTCAATAAAAAGGTGTTAGTCTTTTAAAACCACAGCTGGAGAATTTATTAATAATTTTAGATGTGATAAAGTATATTTGTACATATTAATGAGTCTAGTTATTTTCCTAGCTTTGATTATTTATACTGTAACATCATTTATTACAAAATAAAAAAAAATTACATAGATTATAGAATGGTCTATAATTGTGTGTTTCTCAAATGTTTTCATCATGATCTCATTGACATAAATTTTAGAAAGAAAAAAGGGTCATTAGAATCATGTTGTCACATTGTAAGTAAGCAAATGATTAAGGACAATAAAGGAAAATTGGACTCAGGAAAATGTCATTTTAAAAGAATTTTATTTTATATATTCATTCCATTTGCTTTCATAGAATTTTTAAAGGATTTGGTTTCTCCTGCCAAAGCAGGACATTGTCACAGTATCACCAGCAGCTTAGATACATGTAAGGCTCCATTCCTTAAACAATTCAACATCTTTTCCCAAAATACAGCACAATTTTTCCATATTTAAGCCAGTAGGTCTTTTGAATGTTTTCCTAAAATAGCTTTAAAAGGCCCTGCAAAGGTGCATGTTTTCCAATACAGGCAAATATATTATATTAGATGCACATACTGGCTTTTGTTAAAGATGCACACATGAAGCTTGATATGATGATGAGTTCACAGTATTACTTTTGGGTGTAGAAAGTAAAATGTTGGTAATATTTTCTTACAGTGGGTGATAATGTGATATATAGGGAGGATGGCAGCAAAGTTGAACTAGGATCACGCCTTGAATGTGAAGGGTACAAGGCTGTTCTTAAATACATAGGACCGGTCCCTCCTACAAAAGGTAATTTACTAATTGATAAGTTCTACTTATGTATGTCCTATGCACATGTATCAATTTAATTTTCTACTTATGTATGTCCTATGCACATGTATCAATTTAATTTTCTACTTATGTATGTCCTATGTACATGTATCAATTTAATTTTCTACTTATGTATGTCCTATGCACATGTATCAATTTAATTTTCTACTTATGTATGTCCTATGCACATGTATCAATTTAATTTTCTACTTATGTTATGTCCTATGCACATGTATCAATTTAATTTTCTACTTATGTATGTCCTATGCACATGTATCAATTTAATTTTCTACTTATGTATGTCCTATGCACATGTATCAATTTAATTTTCTACTTATGTATGTCCTATGCACATGTATCAATTTAATTTTCTACTTATGTATGTCCTATGCACATGTATCAATTTAATTTTCTACTTATGTATGTCCTATGCACATGTATCAATTTAATTTTCTACTTATGTATGTCCTATGTACATGTATCAATTTAATTTTCTACTTATGTATGTTCCTATGTACATGTATCAATTTAATTTTCTGCTCTAAAGTATCAGTTAGTTGCTGTATGGATAGTTTAGAATTAAAAGCCAGTCTTCTAAAATCAGTTTTAGGTAACAGGGACCAAATTTTGGAAGATTAAAAAATTAAATGTTACTTTAAATAAATTAGTACTTGAATATGGAAGAAATTTCCTACAACTAACCAATTGATCCTCTAAAGATTTTTAAGGCACATCAATTTAGTACAAACAATGGAAATAACAAAACATTTTTGTGCTGTTTCAGTAATGTTTAAGGATGATTTGTTAAATGCACTTTATACTTTTTTATGAATAATTCAAATATTACTCTTTCAATTATGATAGTTTGATTTGTAGATTCTTATCATAGTATCAACAGCTATTCCATCAATTACAGCTAAATATTTATATAATATATTCTTTAATGATATACTATATCAGGTATATGGCTTGGTGTAGAATGGGATGACTCAGACAGGGGGAAGCATAATGGTACACATGAAGGGAAAACATACTTTAAAACCAAGTAAGTTGCTTTATCAACAACTAGAATGTTCTTTCACTGAAATTATGAGTATTTGTAGCTACTTATATTTAACTTTAGATGATATGGTTTGTTTAGTTTTCAACAAAAAAGAAAAATACTGGCAAACCTGTGTATACACTGTTTACAGGAAATGACCACATAAAAAGATAACCATGATTTCCAAAGTGAACTGCATATACTATAAAATTAACTATTTTGAAAGACCACCATTTAGCAAGACCAATAATTATTCTCCTTTCTCTAACCGGTTTCATATTGTTATTTATACCAACACGTTGATTTAAAGAGTCTTTTATCTTGGATCTGTTTGTTTTACTAATTTTACATAAAGATTAAGTACAAATTGGTGCACATGAGTCAAAAGTAATATAGATTTGTATTGAAACATAAAATTAAATTAAATTTATTTAGGCAATATTGGTCAGATCAGAATTTAATGTCTGCGAAATTGAAAGTAGTGAAAAGAAAGGGATTTTAAAAAGGGTAAAAAAAAAAGAAAAGGGGGGGGAAGATTTGAAAATAAAAATGTATTTTAAAATTACAAAGTAGGGGGGGATATTGTAAAAAGCTTATATATGAAAAAATTAAATTTTAAAAAATAACAAAGTATGGAAGGAATTTAAGGCTAAATAATGAAGGAAATAATAATTACCAGGGAGTGTTCATCTTGTATTATGCTGTGTAACATATACATGTACATTGTTATAATCTATTTTGAACAGGCATCCAAAGTCGGGATCATTTATTCGTGAGAAGAAAGCAACTTTTGGTGTTCCATTTATGAATGCTGTCAAAGACAGGTATGGCAAAATTGAAGATGAAAATGCTGGTGTGATTACAGAGGAATTGTTTGTTGTTGATGAACAAAATAAACAAACTGTGGTGGAAATGGTTGGAGCTAGAAAAGTGAATGATTTACAGAGGTAATTTAGCATGGCTGCATTATGTGCTGGTACTCACCCATTTGACTCATTTATGAAAGAAATAAGAAGTGATTTGCTTTGTCTCACTTTTCCTCTTATGAGGAAACAATGCCCCTTGCACTATGTATCATCCTTAGATGCGTCAAGTCATTTTTGTGAAAAAGTAGGTCTTTACATTCATAAATAATGGAACAATTGTATTGTAATTGCTTTCCAGTATATGGTACAGTGTCTCAGTAAAGAACTCACTTTTAAATTTCTGACAAAAAGGCAACATTTATATTTGATATTTGAAAGAAAGAGCTACTTTTAATGTTTTAAGCAAAAGTTACTTTACTTTGTTACATGTGCATGTAGTTCATTTGTAAACTTAGAATTCTACTTAAGCCAGTGCTAGGGGGCATGGACGGTAGTTTGCACTTGACAGTACCATCAATGAACAGGCTCAATAAAACGGAGCCTGCAACATTTTCAATTTTGACGTGTTGGGCTTTCTTTAGGGATTCTTATTTTCTGTATTTTATTAGACATTTTTGTTTCAGTTTTGCAAGATTTCAAAATCTTATGTAAATGTGATTATGTTTCTTCAGTAAACTAGATGCATTAAAGGAAGTAGCAATACGAGGGATGACTGTTTATGGAACATTAGAGTCACATGATCTTTCTGTACTGGTTCCCAGCATAGAAATCTTGGACCTGTCACAGAATCTATTACCTTCCTGGGAACAAGTTGCTTCAATTACAAGACAGCTGAAAAAACTGAACTCATTAAATGTTAGGTATGCTTATATAGATTAAACATATTTAATGGTTGTAGTTCTTGATTTTATATAATAAAAAAAGATCAGTGCCTCATGACCTTGGCACATTTTGGTACCTTGGTACTTTTACAAGTTGTTTCCCCAGTTCATTATGGCAAGAGTACCTATTTGGCTATTTCATCTGGATGTGATTTTCAAAAAGTGTTGTAATATGCTCAAAGATTTTATCATAGTTTGTATGGTCATGTTTCATGCACTGTATATAGTGTAACATTTGCAAAGATCAGTCGCATGTAAAAAAATAATCATGTCAATAAAGTTATATTAAATTTTAGTGTTATATTTTGTAGTGAGAACAATTTAGAGATACCAGGTGATCGGAAGGCATTGCTGTCCAGTTTTTCACACATTAAAGTGCTGTTCCTTAACAGAACAGGATATACATGGGAGCAGGTACATTTGTACACATTTATTTCTTAACTAAGAATAATTTCATAATTTATACTCAAGTCTTCTCAAGATGGCATCATAAGAATTTGTTTGTTTGGTCTGATGAGTTAAGCATCACTTTCACATTCCCTCAGTTACTTATGTGCAGGGGGTTCCGTATTAAGTTCCTTGTAGAAAGTTTCCTAGTGAGTTTTTTTCTGGATTCTACACCTGTGCAACCCTGTAGTTATACATGTTATTGGCAACATAAGTGGTGGACAACAAGCATAACTAGATTTACTGTTGTCACTATTAAATTACATTCATTTTGTTATGAGAGTGTAGCATTGCCCTCTTAAATTGTGTGACCGAGATTTTAATTTTTTATTTTCAGATATTACAATGTTGTGAGATGTTTCCAAATCTAGAACAAATACATGCCTGTTTTAACAAAATAGAGAAACTCTCCAGTGTGGAAGGAAAAATACAAAATACAACACTTGTTAATTTAGAATCCAATAAAATTTCTGACTGGTCAGAGTTTTTAAAACTTGGACACTTACCTAGGTAAGGACAACTGTTTTGTTTATTAAGCCAACATTTTTAAATCATTAGAACTTACTACATTGTATTAATTAGTTTTGTTGTACTTGTATATACATGTACATATATTAATGCAACAGTGATTTTTTCTAGTCACAGTAAGTACAAATACATATTTTAAGTACAAGGCCTAAGACCTTGAGTTTGTTAAGATAACATAGAATCCGGGCATTATTTGGAAATCTCCTTGCCTGTATATGACTTCATAGGCTGAATGTTAGCGGTTCTATTCAGGTACCTGCTGATGCATTATATAGCATTTAAAGTTGGGGTCTTCTGCACTAGTTTAGTTGAAAGAAACACCTTTGCTGTGTTGCTGTAACTTGAAACCCAACAAAAAACAACAAAAAAACAACAAAAAACAAATAAGATTAATGTTTAACTGTGGCTTATCCATGCAAGCATAAAATTGAAATCTGGATATACCTTGTACTAAATTTGACCTTTCAGGTTAAAGACATTAATAGGAAGTGACAATGGTATACAAACTATACAGTTCCCTAGCAACGATACTACAACTACAGACTTGTTCAAGGAGCTTAACACTTTGACCCTCAATCAGAACAGTATAAGTGAGGTAAGCATGTTATCCTTTATCCCATGTTTTCTACATTTAAAGGGACTATATGATAATAATTTGTCTTAAAAAATTGGTTGGATACATTAAGTAAAGGGTATAAAACTATATCCAATGAAATATTTTTTATAAAATGAATTTGTTGTTTCCATAATCTAATTATTGATCCTAGAAAGATTTGCAAGATAGCATGTTTCTGTTATTCAGCACACATGAAAACTGTGAATAAACATAAAACAATGTTCGAGAACAAAATATTATGAAGCTCTTTTAAGTAGTTTTTTTAACCATTTAGCCATCGAGGAAATATTCTTATATATTTCTTTCATAGATCAAACAGAAAATACTGGTAAATTTGCAGGCAAGAGAGATGTAGCTTTATACACTTTAATTGACAGGCTTTTTTTGTTTTTGTTTTTTTTAGATTTAACAAAATATTTTTGTTTTTTATTCATTTGCTTTCAGGATATTATAAGTTTAGAGTATTTCTCTATTATTTTGAAAGAATTATTAAAATATAGAAAAGGAATCTGTCCTTATTTGTTCTTTTACGAACAATGATGTTAATGACAAGAACATACATGTACATTTAAATAAAATTTTGGCACAAATTTTAATTCAAATAACACCCATAAGCATAAAGATAAAAAATTGATTCCCTGATGCAGTTATCTGAGGTTTTAACAACTTGTGTTTATATGCAAGCAGCTTTATAAAATAATGAATAATTAGAATGTTTCTGTTGTAGAACAAGTTGTATTGATCTTGCAGGAATTAAGAATGCCAGCACCTGTCATGGTCATGTGACAAAAGATTTTTGAAGAAGGTAGATCATGCGGCTTTTAGAATTATCTTAGTTCTGAGCTGTAAGTTTTTTTGAAACCATGTAGATCATTTATTGTAATAAATCATGTTTTACCATTGTTAATATACATATTTCTCTTTGTATTTTTTCAGTGGGACAGTATTAATGAATTGAACAAACTAGCTCACTTAGAGGAGTTGCGGTTGAAACTGAACCCTATAATGGATTCTAGTAAACCTCAGACTGTTAGACAGCTGCTCATAGCTAAATTAAAAGATGTCAAAGTTGTTAACAGAACTAAGGTAATCATCTTGTTTATTCATGTTATTAATAGTATAGGGATAACTTTTCTTAGAATTTTACAACACTTTCAGGGAATTCAATCTTTTGTTGTATGGTATCTGATAATCATAGCATTAGTCTAAGCCTTCCATGATGAAAGTGAACACTGAAAATTTTCTGATTTTTTTATGCTGTTTTATTTTGTAGGGATTTTCTGTCTGCAGTGACAGTCACAAAGCATATTGCACTCTAAATGTTATGTCTGAAACAACTATATGTGAGATGTGGCCCTGTATGTAGTGTTCTCTAAATCCACAGTTAAGTTTAGTGGTAATCTATGAAATTTGTATCTCATAAGTTGTCCTTTATACAATATCAACAGAGGTCTTCTCTCAAAGAATTAGTCACATTTATTTAAAATTTGCTGTTTAGTATTTTATATGTGACCTTAATTGCAGTCTGCTAATTTTGTATCATTAAGACCTCTGTGACTTATAAAAGTTAAAAACAATGTTTCATGAAACAATGAATGCATCTCATCAGACTAAAGTGTAATTATTTTCCAGTCCCTTGTGGCCAAAGCACCCATATTTTTGGTTAATACAGAAATTATTTTAGTTCGATTGTGTAGGAAGCTATAAGCTTATAGACACACTTTCGAATCTGTTCCTGGAACCAACCAGTACTGAGCAATGAGGGTAAAGTTTCTTGCTCAAGGAAACAAGGACTTGCCCCTGACGGGGTTTGAACCCATCTTTTTGTCACAAAAAACCCAGATAGTTTTCATATTGCACTTAGTAACATATTATGAGCCATCACCATTGCTTGTGTATGTTTTGAGTTATCCAGGTGCCACCTATTATAACAAATTGACAAGGACTTTAGGGAAAGATTTAAATGCACATGCCTTTATTGCCATCTATTTTCATACAAAGGTTTATCAACCTATCTGCAGTCATATATTGTAGGTGATTGCAGGAGAAATAATGGGTCATGGCACCTCATTCTATGAAATGGAATAAAATCTGTTATTCTATTTGATTACTGTTAGATGGCCCATTAACTTGATTCCAATGTGTAGATGAATAGATTGAAGTATGAACATTATAGTGCCAACTTTGGGTTAAATTATCTTCCAACATTTTAGAGGTTGAATATTTCTGATGAGTTTTTTGAGCTGCTGTATATAAATTACAATGTACATCATACCAATTTAAGCCCCACTATTCAATGAATAGTGGGGCTATTCTGCTCATTGGCATTGGCGTCTCTGTAGCACTTTGTTTAATAAAAATATAAAAAAGTTATGTATGTTTTTTTGTACAACATCATATAACAACAACCACTAAAGATATTTGTAACTTCTCATACAATTGAGGTATTGAAATGATAATTGAAGGTCACTTTCAAAGATCGATAATTCTGGCAAAATATAGCCCTTTATGAATTTACAAATTTCTTTGGTCAATATCATTGACTTATAACTATGTCATGTTTTTTTTTTTTTTTAAATAAAAATCTACCTTTTTGTTAATTCTTACATCATCCATACTCTTGTTTTATTATCAAGCATTTAGAATAGTTGAGCATACTGTCTTACTGACAGCTCTTGTTTGCTTTGTCTTTGTTTCAGAGTTTAATATCCTTTATTTGCTTTGGATTGCATTTAGGTAACACCTGAGGAAAGAAGAGATGCAGAAATTGATTACTTGAAGCGATTTGGTCCGGATTGGGTGAAATCAGGAGGCAGTCAGGATGTAAACAAGAGTAAACCATCAGAAGAATTCCTTAAAAACCATCCACGCTTCCAAGAAATTCTGAAAAGTGGGCATATTTTATTCTAAGTTGAACAATCTTTTATGAGAATTTATATATCATTGATAAAAAAGCAACTTTCAGTAGAATTAAAGACACAAGCATATCTTGCATGAAATTATATATGACAATAAACACACAAAACATGAAGGACTTATTACGGAAAAATGAGTTATAATAAATTAGAAATCATAATATTTTGTGAATTGATTGTTCATTGCCTAAATCTTTTGCAGCATAGAGTAATATAAAAATTATAGATAAATAAATAATAGATAATAAATATTAATTCATTACAAATGGAAAAGGGGTGTCCATTGTCGAGTGGTTAAGGTCGTTGACTTCAAATCACTTGCCCCTCACCACTGTGGGTTCCAATCCTGACAGGGACTTTGGATTCTTTCCTGTGAGAAGCTATCCAGCTAGCTTTAGGAAGGTCTGTGGTTCTACTTGGGTGCCCGTTCGTGCCTGAAATAATGCACGGGAGGGCACCTGAGGTGTTCATCCACCAGTAAAGCTGGAATGTCGCCATATGACCTATACTGTGTTGTTGTGACGTAAAACCCAATCAATCCAACAAACAAACAAAAGGAAATGACAAAAAATGTAAGAAAATTGATGAACTTATAGTTATGATAAAGTATGCAAAATTGAGTTATGATAAATTAGAAATAATAATATACATTTTATTAAGTATTTGGAGATTGTTCGTAGACTAAATTTTGTGTAACAGAGTAATATGACAATCATAGATATAATGTGATATGTTTACAGAATGGGGAGCACCTGAGGACTCTGAGATGGAAAAGAAACCAACAACACTTAAAAGTGGTCTAATCAGTATCCTTTTGTTGAGAAATTCAACTTACTTTTTACATGTCCTGAAGATTTTTCCGCATGTATTATGGTATTGCATTGTCCGTCTGTCTGTATCCATTTGTTGAGGATTTTAATTTCCTTTCTTAACCATAAAGCAAGTTACTCCAAAGTGCTCCATTGTTGAGTGATTGATTCACTAACTTTTAAATTACTGCTTTTCTCACCTTTTTAAATTCTGTTTGAGATGTTTGTATGTATTTTCTTGTAAAGAAGCTATCAATCTAGCTAAAAAGAGATGGTTGTTATTACTAAAGTGCCCACTAAAAATGAAATATTTTATTTTTGGTCTTATCATTAACAAGTTGGAAAGTTGTCATATGACCTTGACAATATTGCTATGACCTTGACATTATTGCCACACACTACATGTAAAGAAATTATATAGAATTTACATGCCATAATTTAAGTTAACTTATTTTACTTTAGATAATATAATTGCTTAAAGAAAGTCTGGGCTGTAAAGTTCTTGATAAATGAATGATTTGTAGTCATTATAAATCTGTATAAAAAACATATATAATTCTGACAATAAAATATACATGTACATGTACTTCATTTGCCAGCTATTTTAATTCTATGAAGAATTTTATAGAAAATATTCTTTAACTCTAGTCTTAAGCTGTGAAATTTGAGGTTCCATCCATGCCTGATGTAGAAATGATGGAGAAAAAATTGCCTGGTATGTAAATTTGTTCACATTTTAAAACAAATGCCTAGAGAGTGTGGTATCATCTTATGTCAAACATTTTTTTTAATATTGATGATTTTCATGCACAGTTATTTGACATTTTACATAATCAACTGACTAAATTGATGTTGAACATTTACATTCACTGTGAATTTGTTCACCAAGAAGCAATAAAAAATGATTATTTATTCTTTATCAGAATTTTTTTTTTTTTGCTTTAGTAAACTATTTGTGGTTCATCATTTTAAGAATTATATTTTCATCAAGTTTATATCTTTGGTGGCTTGTAGGGCCCTTGTAGGTTTCTCAGGTACCAAAAATTGTGTGGTAGGGGTGGTAAAGGTGTCTGCTTCACAACCTAGGGATCAAATGTTCAAGCTGGGTTCACGACCAAATTTCCTTGTATGACACACTAATATTAGTTCCAGAAGATAGACTCTAAAGTTGTTCAAATAAACTTCAAGTTTTCATCACAAATCATGCTAAAAATAGTATGTTTTAAACTAAACTTATATTTGGGAAATGAAGTGTGAAAGAATCACTATATTTAGGCTATAGTACGATATTCTACAAAGCAACACCGTTTGGGGAGCAAACATTTTGGTTGCTGAAAGATGTTGCCCTAGAAAGGTTTTATTAATTAAATGCCACATCTTAGTTCGGGAACAATTTGATTTTATTGTTGTAGAGAGGTTATTGCTCTACAGAGGGCCACTCTGCAAAGGTTACACTGTATAATACTAATTTATAGCTATCATTAGTGTCAGAGTGTAACTGTAATTGGTTTCATGCTCATGTACTTGCTATTTCATATGATCAACTTGTCAATGACATTTTTATTCTAGGTACAATAAACATATCCAGACTGAAGGCACTGGTGACTAGGCTGTTTAAATTGGATAGAGATACAATTAATCTTTCTTATTTAAGCAAAAAGGTAAATATCTTTACTAGTATATCTTAGTAGAAGGGTAAATATTGCAATATATTTACCAGTATATCTTAGAAACAGGGTAAATATTGCAATAGCTTTACCAGTATATCTTAGTAACAGGGTAAATATTGCAATATCTTTACAGTATATCTTAGTAACAGGATAAATATTGCAATATCTTTACCGGTATATCTTAGTAACAGGGTAAATATTGCAATATCTTTACCAGTTTATCTTAGTAGAAGGGTAAATATTGCAATATCTTTACCAGTATATCTTAGTAACAGGGTAAATATTGCAATATCTTTACCGGTATATCTTAGTAACAGGGTAAATATTGCAATATCTTTACCAGTATATCTTAGTAGAAGGGTAAATATTGCAATATCTTTACTGGTGTATCTTAGTAACAGGGTAAATATTGCAAATATCTTTACCGGTATATCTTAGTAACAGGGTAAATATTGCAATATCTTTACCAGTATATCTTAGTAACAGGGTAAATATGCAATATCTTTACCGGTATATCTTAGTAACAGGGTAAATATTGCAATATCTTTACCAGTATATCTTAGTAGAAGGGTAAATATTGCAATATCTTTACCAGTATATCTTAGTAACAGGGTAAATATTGCAATATCTTTACCAGTATATCTTAGAAGAAGGGTAAATATCACAATATTTTACCAGTATATTTTAGAAGAAGGGTAAATATTGAAATATCTTTACCAGTATATCTTAGTAACAGGGTAAATATTGCAATATCTTTACCGGTATATCTTAGTAACAGGGTAAATATTGCAATATCTTTACCAGTATATCTTAGTAGAAGGGTAAATATTGCAATATCTTTACCAGTATATCTTAGTAACAGGGTAAATATTGCAATATCTTTACCGGTATATCTTAGTAACAGGGTAAATATTGCAATATCTTTACCGGTATATCTTAGTAACAGGGTAAATATTGCAATATCTTTACCGGTATATCTTAGTAACAGGGTAAATATTGCAATATCTTTACCAGTATATCTTAGTAACAGGGTAAATATTGCAATATCTTTACCGGTATATCTTAGTAACAGGGTAAATATTGCAATATCTTTACCAGTATATCTTAGTAGCAGGGTAAATATTGCAATATCTTTGAATATAATAACTTTCTTTCAAGAGTTATATTTCATAACTTTAAAGCATCATCTACAAATTAAGTTATTTTTAACAATAATTTTTTTACATTTGTTGACATTAGTCAGATTAGGTAATATAATTGACAACAATGTTTACAATGTTTTGGAGAAGAAATAGAAACATGATGTGTTAATTAATATATGACTTTACGCTGGTCAGTTGTTTTGCAATGATCCATCAAACAAATGAAGTGTCACCCTGAACTGCCATTTGGTCTTGTGCACTAAAACTGCACACACCATGTGCACAAAGGTCGGAACTTTAGTTTGAACTCAACTGTCCATAACATAATAATAATTAAATGATTTATGTTTGATTATTTTTGTATGTATATTTCAGATGAAAAATGAAGAAATAGAAATGGACAATGATCAGAGAGATCTCTCATATTATTCTATAGAACCAGGGGATGTTATACAAGTGAAATTTTAGCAGCATAATTCAAAACTTGACTCATATGAGCCAATTAACAGCTAATTGATATGACAGGCTTTGCCACTGATTCTGTCAGATAGTCACACTAGACTTTTTATAAAGCTTCCTTATTTTTAGTATTGTGAATAAATTAACAGAAGACAATTCCAAACTCAAAACTAGACAAATCTGTAGCATAAATATAATTTGGTAAAGGTTAAAGCAGCATGCATTCAGATTTGTGTTAATTTTCATGCAGATTCTAATATTGTGTTAGCTAATGAACAATATTGAGAAATAAAAAAAGTAAAGCAAAATTAACAAAACAAAAGGCATCAACTTCCAAAAGAAGCTACTGGTAACATGTCAGAATAAGCAAAATGATCCCATATTCCACACATAGCGGGGTAGAATTATCACTTTAATGATAGTTTACTTGTATTCTACCATGTCTTGCATAAAATATATTGATACATTTTTTAAACAATCCCATGTTATTTTTCTTCACTTTTTTTTTAAAAAGTTTCTTTACGCATCTGTTGTTGTGAAGCTTTAAAGGGACTCCACTGAGGTTTAAAAGTCTAAAAACATAACACTTGAATTTCTTACATAAATGAGCTGGGGCACTTTAAACAAAGATAGTTAAGAAATATACTTTGAAATAAATTGAAAATCGTATTTCTATGCTTTTCTTAGCCTAATTTGAGTGAAAAGTGTTCAAACGCTTATCAGTTTAGGTCATTTTTTTACAATTTGAATAATTATTCTGGAAAAACCGTGTGCGCGAATGATCTGAAATTTTGCACAAAGATTAGTGGTCTTAACCTACATCAAATGGTTCAATTATCTGGAAAAAATATTTTCAGTCCCATCATGTCAAAAAACCTCAGTGGAGTCCCTTTAAGCTATATGTTATGAACATTTTGTATATATTTATTAAAGGAGAAGTGTATTGTTTACATAACGTAATGTCTGATTCTCCAAAGAGTTGTAGCATAGACTATCTCTGTAATTTTAAACACATGAATATTATATGTACACAGAATAAAATGTTCTGGAATAAAGTATTATGCTTATTATTATTATTTTAGGTAGGATTTAGTAATGACTTTATGCATGCATCATTCGCTGTTAAGGAATTTCAAATATATAAACATTTTTCTTTCACACAGGTATATTGGAAGTAATTAAAATAAAAATAATATTTGTTTAATCAAATATATAGCTCTATATACATAAAAAATTTAAAATAAGTTTAAGTAATTTCTTGTAATTGAGCTATCATGATTGTAAGTAACTTGTGAGTTTATTTACCATACTGTAATTGTGCTATTGTTTTCCTGCTGAAAATTTGCACCTTAATTTCAATATTCAAAATTTAGTTTAAACATAGTTTATTTAAAAAAGTTTCACAGTATATAATATACAAATAATACCAATTATTAATTTACACAATACAGGCATGAATTATTGTAGAAGGATTGGGTCCGACAGCTGAGTTTATAAAGACCTTCTCCTAAATAGATTTACAATGCATAAGATACAGTATGACAGTATTAAAAATTGGTCAGAATGCACAGACATGCAGACTAGCATGTCTATATAATGATAGCATAGGTATTTTATAACTGTTCCTGACACTATAAAAGAGTAAAAATGCTCTCAAATCTGCTTCCTGCTTTATACACATAGTTATAGTTCTTGGCCAATGATACCACTTGCAAAAATGATACAAAATGGACATGACTGTTTCTAGACACTAGACTTAGTAGTTGTGATACTATTATATTTATATGTACAAATGTATATACTTACTTGTAGTATAATGCTTTTGTGATTAAATAACCCCGTTTTCATACATTTTTAGCACATGTTGACTGAAAGAGAGCTTTTTATTACTTTACATTACTGTTCAACGACTAGCTATTTGAATAATTTGGCTACATTTTGTTGCAGATATACCAATAAAATAAAAATAAATCATTATGTGTTCATTGTGTTTAAAGAATTGTCTGTATGTTAAATGTCTGGGTTTGGCGGCAGTTTTAGTAATGTGTGGGCAGCTACCTAAGTGTCTGTTGGAGGTCTTGGTACTAGTTTTAACCTGATATGCTGAATCAAATGGACAAGAAGAATGGTGTTATACAAACTGTATTCAATAGATGTCTTGTGAAGGACTTGAATTTGTTAGATGTAATATGCACTACAAAGAAGCTAATCAAGTTGTAAAAATATACTTAGTCATGTACATGCTTTATTATCTGTTTGATAAATATGAGGTTGTAATACATTGTTAAGTACAATACTGAATTCTGTTGAACAAGTACAAAGCTGTCAAACCTAGACAAGGCACTAGCCAAGTCTGAGCTGTAAGTGTCCAAAAGAAACAGTATTGTTTTCACAACAATTTATCATGGCCTCTTTATTTTACATTTTTTGATATTTTGACAGAACTTTGTTACTATAAGTACAATAAGGAATATATAAGGAAAAATACCTGGAAAATAAAAAATAGGCTAATGGAATATGATAAGTATTTGATATAGATATGACAATTAATTATACAATAGGGGTATATTGAAAATTGTCTAATATTGTTGTTATGAATACTTATTGCGCAAACTGACTTTTATTCATATTTTTTTATTTGGTTGTAATTGGGACTTGGGGGTAGCTAGGGTGTATACTCTGACTGGGGTGTCCCAGATCACAGTGGGCTATATGTCCTATGCTGATAATGTACACACAGTTATCTGATCAGGAAAGATATGTCTAATACATATGATTAGCCAGTATTTAATCTAGAGGATCAGCGATCTCGATCATAGCTGCTATTGGAAAGTTTATAATTTATAGCAGTTGTAATAAAAATCCGTTTATACGGAGTTTAGTGTCAGCCATTATGTAACGGCTTTAGACAGGTTCTATCCCTATCTAATGTCCCGAGACTTTGAACAGAAAAAGAAATCAAGTAGGTAATTTATTAGGCCATCCACCGAATATAAGAAGTAAATTAAATTAATATTATTTGAAAAACAGAACTGAACCATTTGTAAGAGTTGTCATAATGAAATAATTAAAAAAATAAAAAAAAATTCTTTCAAATACTAAGTTGGTTATTGTTCATTAGTAAGCGTTTACCCAGTTAAATTGGCCAAACCAATGTGCCAGGCTAGATGGTTACAGGTAAGGCCCCTACGATTACACGTTTAAACGGGTTCGTTTCGATTTTCATTCATAAACGTTTACGATATTGTTTACCGTTTAATCGAAATGACCACATTGTCTTACAAAATTTCTTAATCATTGCCTGTAATCATGGATTTTATCAATTCTAGTGGTTTATTCCAAAGTACCCTCCACACAGCAATTGCTCGTGACAAAATACATTTTTGGTAAAAAATGGGGTTACAATGCAAAAAATGTGTGCTGACTCAATCGTGATGAGCCCTGAACATTCTTTATTTGTACATGTGTAAAAAATAGAAGGAAAGACACCATTTGTCGACTTAAATACATGATGTGTATAGTACATAGAGGTATCACCGTTTAAACGGTATCGTTTCGGTTCTTAGCAATCGTGTAAACGTTTACAAAAAATTGTAAACGTGGGAGCCTTAGTTACAGGACAGACTCTTGGGGGTCAGATTCTGCCCCCAACGTGATATGCCCCTGTAAACACTGTTTCAAAACTATTTTAATATTTAAACACGAATGGGACTACTATTACAACGATAAAACTGGTTTTCAAACAATTTTTACATATATGAAAAAATATCATATACCATCAAGTCCCAATAAATGTCCCATTAGTGTTTAAGGTGATTCCACTTTGTCAGCCATGTTTGTTTTCACAAAGTCTGTCAAAAGTGAAAGTAGGCCAAAATTCATATAATAACAAAGCTCACGATGTAAAATGATGAGTCATTTGCATGTATGCTTCCAGGTTTATGTTTTAAGGACAATTAACAACCAAAATAAAAATGATATCAATAAGAATATTTACCTTGAATGTGCTATATTTCTGAAGACCAAGAACATTATGTTGCAAAGTTTTATATACATTTCATGAATGGCATAATCCATTTTAAAGTCTGCTTTAGTGCCAACAAAAGCTATTTTTTGCAGCAAATACAGAAATCTTTTAAAACTTAATTCCAAATAAATCAGTATCTCATGTCCTTCTAAGCACATGGCCTCCATTATTTTTTGTAAAAAAGTAGTGCAAGAAGACAATCACCATTTATACACAGGCGCTAGTCACATAATCAAATATTTTACATAACCGGTCTATATATGTATATAAAAATATATATCTTATTATAGTATATAGCCCATTTAAAACTTTAAAAAGTTTGTTTCAAGCACCTGTGCATTTTTAGCCTTATGAAGTACAATTAAAATGAAAACATAATCAGACTTTAAAATCTAACCTTTATATTGTGTAACAGTGAAGTGTGTCTGTTTGTCATGTACACAAGAAATAGGTAAATAATGTTTATTTTCATGGTACTCCTTTTTTTCACATGGCATGTAGGCCATGTTTTTTCAAGGTCAGATAAACTACTTTCCTAAGATTTAAGTTTTTGCAAGTTTTTTGTGTTTTCTGCAAAAAATAGCAATTGTCTGCACAGTAAAACTGACTTTAAACTGGATTTTGCCATTCATGATATGTGCATAAAACTTTACAACAGATTATACTTGGTCTTCAGAAATTTAGCACATTCAAGGTAAATTTTCTTATTGTTATCATTTTTATTTTTGTTAAAAATAGTCCTTTATACATAGAACTGGACGTGTACATGCAAATGGCTCATCATTTTACATTGTGAGCTTTGTTATTATATGAATTTTGGCCTACTTTCACGTTGGACAGACTAAGTGAAAACAAACATGGCTGACAAAGTGGAATAACCTTAAATAATAAAAAAGTTTTGATAGAGTGTTTACAGGGGCATATCACATGTGGGGGGGGGGGGGCAGAATCTGACCCCCAAACTGTGACTGTGTTAAGTTGAATGTGGTTGCTAATGTTTCTTATTATAAAATCTAAACAGTAGCATTATGTAAACAAAATTATAGATAAAATTAAATAAGAACAGATTTGAAGAGAGTTTTCCTGTTTTATATGCTACAGCAGAAGATGAAAATTGTGATCAGAATAAAAAAGTTTATGAGATGATTACCAAATGAAAACATGAATAATTACCATTTTTTCAATGCATGAGATTTAGAATCAGGGCAAAAACACCACTTTTGGGGAAGGGGCCTCAGCCTTTTTCTTGAGTGGAAAATATGCATGATTTTGGCATACTTTGGGAAAAGGGGTCTCAAATTTAACTAAAACTTTTAACAAGTTCTTCGAAATAGAAAAGCAAAAAGCACTGGGAAATACTAATAAGGCAGTAAAAAGACACCATCATTTAATTTTGTTCTAAATTCTTTGGGAAATTTCAAAAGACTGGGGAATTTTGAGGCCCAAACTAGGGAAAAAAGAGGCTAGTTTGGTTAGGGAAGCAGCCTATATTCGGCCTCTACAAAGAAGAGTTTTTTGGCCCTGAGAATATTTTAATATCATTGTGATTAAAGTTGAATGAAGGTAGGGTAAGTGATTTTGAGACTAAATGTGTGAGGCAACTTGTTATATGGTCCTCTGTCAAGTTTATTCAAATTACAACTAAAGCTAGAAATATCTTTAATAACCATCTACTTTGTAATAGGATTATTCATCCCATGTTTAAGTGTGAGCATCTTTAAATGATCTTTTAAGTTTGCTAATAAGATGGTTGAACACTTGAATGAGAACCTAGAGCTAAAATTAGAATTAATTTCTGAGCTAATAAATGCATCATCACCAGACTTGCCATATCATTTGTTGGTCCTCTATTAGATTTTTTCAGAACAATTTGGTTGGTAACTTTTAGGGCCAGATTAAGTGCTTGAAATAGAAATACATGTATGTTTCAGTCAATGGCAAATTCTTACCAATCTTACTTGTTAACATCTTACAAATTTATACAAATTGAAGGGACTTCTAACATTGAAAATAAGAAAATTTCAAACATTTTACAATTAACAGAGCTTAATAATGCTTATTGTCTATTGTGTACTGTTATCCCCAATTCCTTCAGATTTAGACTAAACTTAAAAGCATTTAATTCTGGACAACACAAGTTTATTTCAATCATGCCCCTTGGATAAAAATTGCCAGACTTGGGATCACATTTGTTACATAGACTAGTAAAGGAAAAAAATTATTTTTTTTTTGAGGAAAAAACCAACATGGCCCAGAAATTAGATATTTTGTTTTAAGCATAACCTTGTGGTCCTCAACAAAAGTTTATGTATAGTTATTATTAGGACAGTCTGTAATCATTTGTAAACAACATAATAATTCTCAAATAAAAGGCAAGCCAGGGTATTTGTTTCATCCATTTTACACTATATGTTCATTAATAATACAAGATCATGAAAAAAGAAAGAACTGTTGACCTGAAAGTAAGTATGCAGCAGATAGGCCATGATCTTAGCTGTAATAAGATGTATCAAGGGCTTGATGCCAAACAGCTATAACTCCTTCTTCATGTCATATGAGTTAAAACTCTTGCCAAGCCTTCAGTATTATTGTATGTTAACTTTTTTTCCAGGTCCCAGAGATTCTGAGAGAAGTTAAAAAGTTGAAGAATTTGAAACGTTTAACCACAAGTAAAAAAAAAAAGAACCATTTCTCAACCATGGCTTACATTATTAAGATACGGTCACACAAGTTTGACATGAAGTCAATTACAGTCGAACCAGTGATGTTTCTGTACATGTTTACAGTATTCTTATCTAACTTGACATTCCAGGCTCTAGTATATGACAAAGTTTGTAAAGAACATTACAATTCAACAATATGTTCACAACTAGGCAATATAACATATAAAGAAGAAGAGGATGTTGTACAGAAGGAAACATCAACATGGCTGTTATATAATAACCTTGCTATGGGATTGCCCTCACTGTTTAGTGTAGTATTGTTCCTAGGTCCCTGGGGAGACACAGTTAATAGAAAAATACCAGTTATCTGCCCCTTAGTAGGTTCATTTTTAGTTTCAGTTAGTAACATGATAAATTCCGTTTATATGGATGCACCTCTTGTGTATTTACTATTTGGACAGTTTCTAAATGGACTTCTTGGAGGTTTTATAGCAGCATTAATGTCAATGTATAGTTACATCGCCTATGTGTCATCTCCGTCTTACCGTACCATAAAGATAGGAATACTAGAAGGTATGATATTCCTGTCAGCAACTGTTGGCACAGCAATATCAGGTGTGATCCTCGATAAGACAAGTTATGTATTTGTGTTTAGTTTTCTAGCAGGATTAATGATGCTTGCTTTAATATATACAATTGTTTGGGTAGACAGCATTCCCTCTGAACAGACTCTGGATGCTAACAGTGACAGAAAAAGTAGTTGCAGATCATTGTTTCTTGATACCATAAAAGATGCATTCATGTGCGTGTATCAGAGCCGCAGGAACGAGAACTTTTTAAACCTGGCATTAGCAATTTTTATCATATTTATCCTGATGTTGGTGTCAATAGGTATGTATAACATTAAACAATATATTTTAAATTTAAAATAACAAATTATTTTGGCGGGTTTTCTCTATTATTACATGTTAAATTATATACTTAAACATTAAACATTAACTTAATTATTTAATAAAAGTTATTATCATGTACAATGTAGTATCAGTAGGTATATAAAACTTTAACATAAATGCAGTGTTAAAGAATCATTTCTCTACATTACTAAGTTTATATAATATCCATTATTTAAAGGACTTAATAATGCTTAACCAGATAATAATTTGAAAAATATTAAAGAATTTGGGGATTTGTAATTCAAGAACACATGTGCTAAAAATGTTTTTTTGTGTGTGTGTTGTTTTACACTTTTGCTCTAACTGCTAATGCACTATGAAATACGCAGACAAATGGAAGATTCTTGAAAGGTCCATGACCTTTAGTGTATTCTTGTTTATACAGTTTGTTTTATGATTTTGCAGGCATCATGGAGCTACATTACACATTTTTATCACATCAATTTTTATACCCTTCTCTCATGTAGGTGAGATTGACATTTTACTGATTTATACTCGTAACCGACCTTTTAACTGGTCACAGACAACTCTAGGACTGTACGACGGTTTAGAATCATTCCTACGAGGTATAGCGGTACTAACATTCCTTCCACTTCTGAAGAGGAAATTTGGAGTAAGAGATACTATGATACTAGTAGTAGGACTTGTTTCAAAGACAGCTAGCCTCATTGTTCTCGGATTGGGAAGATCAACAGTTGTGCTTTTTATAGGTTTGTTTTCTTTGATTAAATATTTCAACAAAACACAATAACTGTGGTTTCTGGTTAATTGGTTACCATTGACTTGAATCACAGGCCCCACAGTGTAGCATACAGTGTAGCAATACAATGTGACCTTGATGCCATTTTTGGCATCATTTCCAAGACAACTTATGCTCAATTTGAAAAAAAGAAAATAGCCATTAGTATCTTATTTCTGTACCAATTTCTTTGGTATATTTTCTTTGGTATATGCACCAGTCTACGGGGGAAATTATAAGCTTGCAGCAGAATATTGTATCTCCTTCAGTATATAAGCTGTTTAATCAAACAATTTGTATAACCTTGGTAGTTATTTGTATAGGAGTGGACGTGGTATTGCTACACTGTTATATGAATCATGTCAGGAATTATGTATTGTCTTATGTGACGCAGATTTTCAGCTATTTAATGTAAGGTTTATGATTATACTCATGTGCCTGTTCTAGGCTGAAATAATGCACACGCATTTAAGGTATATCTCCACAAGTAAAATTTGTCTTACATTATGACTTACTTTGACTGTGTTGGTATGGCATAAAACCAAAAAAAAGATACAAATGTTTTATATCACAGTAAGATACCAGTCACAGATAATACACTTTTGTTTCATTTGATCTAACAATGTATATTGTATATTTTATAACTTTATATTTTGCAGTATAAAATATCTGAACAAGGTAAAAAACATAAAATATTGAGTTAGACTTACAATGTATTTCTCTTTTAATAGTGTGTTTTCATTTATCTATACATAATCTATACTGGTATGTCTAATACATTGTAAGGACAAGAATTTTGAAAGAATTAAAGACATAAATAGCTTTTTCTGTGTGGCACTCTCTATCTGTTCTAATAGAAAGAAACCTGGATCTATCTTGATATTAGAGGAGGTTTGAGATAGGGTGCCATCGAAAGATGGTGTTAGCAGATATATTCCTATAATAATTCCATAAAAAAAACCTTGAGACGTTGTTAAAGGGGAGGGGGGCCTTTGTGGCTTAGTGGTTAAGGTCACTTCAAACCACTTACCCTTCACTACTGTGGGCTCAAATCCCAACAGGGACTTAAGATTCTTTCTTAATCTTATGAGGAACATCCAGGATTCTACTCCGGTGCCTTTCATGCCTAAAATAATGCTCAGAATTATACTGGAGATCTTCCTCCATCAGTTAACCATGACAACAAAACTAACATTTATGATGTTTAGTCAGTAACACAGAATTTATTCTGGTACAACATTACTGATTATAAAAGTTTTTGTCTACTGATTTTATTTTCAATTACAAATGTAATCTACTTTTCAACCATGACATTATAAGCTAAATCAAAATATAAAGATAAAAAGCTATCTTAAAGCTGACTTCTTCATTTTTTTTTTTTATTATAAGATGGGCATGTACATTGCTTTGGACAATTTTATGATTATATTAAAAACTGTGTGATGACTATTATAACAGCAATGATTTAAAGAAAAAATATTTTTAAGAGTTAATACAGCTTATAAGCCTGCTTGCTGCAAGTGAATATATCATGTGACTACAGTGCAGACCAAGATCAGCTGGTACATCCATGCAGTCTGATCATGGTCTGCACTGTTTGCTATTCAGTCATTAGATATTTTGAAATTTTCCCTAAAAATGCTGAATAGTTTGTCTGGAATAAAGACAGACATGTTTGTTTAAGATATTCAGTTCAGTAAGTAATTAATGTACATATATATAGTTATCATGTTTATTGTGTCGCCTTGAAAAAGGCGATATGTAGGGGTTACGTTTGTCTGTGTCGGTGTCGGCATCCCCTTAAGCTTTCTGGAGCATAAGTCAGTCATTATAAGTCGGATTGACTTCAAACTTATAAATTTTCGTACTTTATTTTTGTCCAGGCCATTTCTCATAAATTATAAAAGCTATAGACTTGAAACTTCATAGGATGATGGATTTTATTGATAAGAAGAGCAGTGCACAGAAACTGCTGCTCTGCACTTCTTATTTTTTGAGTTATTGCCCTTTGTTAATTTTCATATTTCATTTTTGTCCTGGCCATTTCTCCTAAACTATATTGTTCACAAGGCGACACATCCGACTTGCAGAGTTCTAGTACTATTTTTTATTATAAGAAACCTGAAGACCAAAACGCTTTTCCTTTTTCTGATCTTATCTATGACTCTTAATTACATTTGAGCTGTTTTACAATGTAAACAGAATATCTTTTCAGAAGAGCATTTGTTTGTATCCAGTGAATGTGCACTATATTACACTAAATGACTTAATCCATGATATCTTGAAAATGTTTGTCTTTTATGTATTCTTGTTCGCTATATCTTTATACTATTATGTATTATATAATTATATTATATACATGTACCAACAATTAATATCTCATTCAAATTCAAACAGTGTGATATGACTTGTATTTCACTGATTTTTTTTTTCACTATCTAATTGAAAATCATATTATGGCATATTGATATATACATGTATTGCACACAAAAGCAATCATTATGGTATATTTTATTTCAATCACCAAAATAAAGTACAGTTTAGTGTGTATTGTCCTTCATTTTAGCTAAAAGATTTTTAAAAGATACACATGTACACACTTGATGTATTTGAAATAAATACATTTTTGTGCAGCAGAAAAAAAAACATGGGTACACAACTGTAGATCTTGATTTTATACATAGATTACACTAATGGACTTTTACTGATGCCAACAGAGAAACCAAATATCTAGCATTTATTTGGATTCTCAACTGTTTGCTTAAAGTATACTAGTAATTCCAGTAATTTGCTAGTATAGTGCTCCTCTGAACAAAACCTTTTTGGTTAAATAGTCTTAACTTGGAAACATGTGAATTGATAACATTAAAACTTTGTATATGGATGCATCTTGATGAGTTGTGCCTGCCACACCCATTTTTAGCTAGACTATACGAAGTATATGGAGAGCTGTCCTACTCGCCCCGGCGTCCGCGTCCAGATTAAAGTTTTGGTGCAGTAAAATATTTTTCACTATAACTTTGTCATTTCGTAAGGTATCAACTTCAAACTTCAAATATATGTTCCTTATCATCAACCACATCTTATGTGACAAGGTTCATAACTCTAGCACCAATCTTTTCAGATTTATCTCCCCTTGAACTTAGAATTTTCCTTAAAAAATACTATTTTTTACTGTTACTTCTTTATTTCTGAAGGGATCAACCTCATACTTCAAATATATGTACCTTATCATCATCCCCATCTTATGTGACAAGGTTCATAACTCTAGCACCAATATTTTCAGATTTATCTCCCCTTGAACTTAGAATTTTCCTTAAAAAGTACTATTTTTTACTGTAACTTATTTATTTCTAAAGGGATCAACTTCATACTTCAAATAAATGTACCTTATCATCATCCCCATCTTATGTGACAAGGTTCATAACTCTAGCACCAATATTGCAAGAATTATCTCCCCATCAACTTAGATTTTTTTACTAGAAAAATGTTATTTTTTACTATAACTTTTTTAGTTTTAAAGGTATCTACCTCAAACTTCCAATACTTATTCCTTATAATCAATTGTATTTTATGTGACAATGTTCATAACTCTTGAAGTAATATTTACAGATTTATCTCTCTTTGAACTTAGGATTTTCTTTAAGAAATATTATAACTTTGTTACTTTTTAAGGTATCTACTTCAAACTTCAAATATATACTTCTTATCATTACATACATGTTGTGTGACAAGGTTCATAACTCTAGCGTGACTATTTCTAGAATTATTTCCCTTGATCTTGAAATTTATTTTAACAAATGTTATTTTTTTACTATAACTTAATACATAATTATACATAATTGATTTTTCTTTCATAGTTTTGTCCTCCTTACTGCGTCCAGTATTTTATTAGTCGAGCTTGGCTGTCTCCTGTGACAGCTCTTGTTAGGTCAAAGGTCAAGGTCACTGGAATGTGTAATAAGAAAAAATAAAACTGGCCATTAAATTAAAGTGCATTGACATTGGAACTTTAAACTTTGTATGTATATGTACCTGTCACAACTATTGTCAGGTCAAGGTCAGTTGACCTGTTAAAATGAAACATAAAACTGGTATTGACCACAGAACTATAAACTTAGTGTGTAGATGCACCATGATGAGTTTTTTTCAGCTGTACCCTGTTTAGGGTCAAAGAACCAAAGGTCAAGGTTAAAATGACATTTTATTCAAATTATCTCTTTATTAAGTAAGTTTGCAATTAGCTGCACAGCACTGAGAAAAGTGAAGTGCTCTGCTTTTGTTTTTAATGGTAAGAAAATGTCAGGTTTTTACAGCTTATCATTTAAGCGCATCTATGAGAAAGACTTTTTTTAGGAAGTAATACAGTATCAGTACCAGCACTTTTATATATTCATCATAGTTTGAATAAATACACACTGTCAAACAAAAATGTATATAATAGTAAGTCATTGTATCACATCAATTCAATATGCCATACATTTGTATCTAATATATTGTACATTTATATAAAGGTGCCACATCTGGTGTTCTGCAAGGATTTAGTTCTGCTGGAATCAGATCTATGACTTCAGGAATGGTCTCCAGCAATGAGCAAGGTAAATTCCCAAACCTTAAATCAGCTGAAATGAAAATGTTCAAATTAAACTAAAATTTAAACCAATGGATAGATAATGGCATGACAACTTGTTATAATATTTTTAATTTCATGTGGTAATTTTCAAAGTTTTGCAGTTTAATATATTATATGAGCCGCGTCATGACAAAACCAACATAATGGGTTTGCGACCAGCATGGATCCAGACCAGCCTGCGCATCCGCGCAGTCTGATCAGGATCCATGCTGTTCGCTATCACTTTCTATACTTGTAATAGAGTTGGTAAGCGAACAGCATGGATCCTGATCAGACTGCGGGGATCTGCAGGCTGGTCTGAATCCATGCTGGTCGCAAACCCATTATGTTGGTTTTGTCGTGACGTGGCTCTATTATATTTTCTCATATTTCAGCAAAGTTGTTCAGTTTGATTGGTATGTTTGAGAGTGTGTCAACTCTGGCAGCAACCAGTTTGTTTAACACAGTGTATACTGCTACCATAGACTTCTACCCAGGATTTTGTTTTCTGATGGCAGCTGTCCTTTCTGGTATATGTATATTTATAGCATGGTGAGTAGTCTACCAGACTAGGGGAGATAAAATTTTATTATTTTATCATCTTTTTTTTTTACATAATGCTATGGATGTCCGTGGTTAAGTGGTTCAGTTTATTTACCACAAACTACTTGCCCTTCTGTGCTGTGGGTTCGAATCTGTCTGGGTCTTTGGATTTTTTTCATGTGAGGAAGCTATCCAGCTAGATTATGGAATGTTGGGGATTTTACTCAGGTGTACATTCGTACCTGAAATAATGCACTTAGGGGCATCTGAGGTCTTCCTCCACCAGTAAAGCTGGAAAGTTACCATATGACTTAAAGGTTTGGTGGGACGTGCAATGTTGGTAAAGGACATTTTCTTTTTATGTCTTTAAGCCTCAGATGTTACCTCCCATTCCACATATCAAAGCCAGCTTCGGTCATAGACAAGGATGGAGGTATGGAAGCCATTCAGGAATAGTTGAATTCAAGAATTACAAAATTTTTAAAAAAAGTTGATATTATTATAATCAATTACAGAAATTATTTAATTATTATTTAATTTTCAGCATTTTACACATAAAAGTATCCAAGAATACAGCTGGTAACTATGATACGTTACAGAATGAGACAGTTCAAGATGTTCCTGTAGGTACAGACAATGAAGTTCAATCCTAGATACTTACAGCATTTGTTGATTGCAAATTGTTAACCTGCGATAAGGCTTTGCCACCAGTATAGAGCCAGGCCAACTTACACATCACATCTGTGTAGTCTGACCAGGCTCTATACTGTTGGCAGCTCAGTTTTTGAAATTTGATATTGAAATTTCTTAAACTTCAAACAGAGTGTTCTAAATTTAAAGCTACATGCCTCCAGATGAGACAAAATATTTCAATAAAATCGAACTTGAGAAAAATGTACTAAGATGTTAAGAAAAGTAAAAAGTTTCAAGATTCAAGTAATATTTTACATGTTATGTGCGATCAGTGACTGATTTTTCAGTATTTACAACCACATTTCTACTGCGTTACTTACACAGTAAGGGCATTTTATGCATATTTTGACCTTTTTTTAGTAATTTACATGGTTTGAAAGTGTCATTGATAGTGTGTAAATTGCTTCCTTTTGGTTACTTCACAATATTATACATTCGTATACATTTTCAAAATTTTCATGAAAATTAGTGTGAATCTGAAGGCGTGCTGCTTTAAATCAAGACAAATTCATTACACAAAGTCAGCAGGTAAAGGGTTGATTTATCATCTCAAAAATGTTGATCTCTATAGGCTGGCATTAGCCTCTAAATAAGCAATTTATTTATTAAAGCTGTATGCCTCAAAATTCAGCCTAAATTTAATATGGTAAGAAAATTAAACTTGAGAAAAAATGTACTAAGATTTCATGAAAAGTAAACAGATCTTAGATTCAAGTAATAATTTACATGTTATGTGTGATTAGGGAATGATTTTGCATTTTTTGTAACCATATTTCTGCTGTGTTACTAACTCATTAAGAGCTATTTTTGCTTATTTTGACCTCTTTTTGGTAATTTATGTTGATTTAAGTGCTGTTTACAATGTATAAATTATTCTTTGTTCACTTCACATTATTTTACTTTAAAATACATTTTTGATTTTGTTTTATGAAACATGAATCTGTTGGTATGCTGCTTTAAAGATTTAAACTGCACACCAAAAGGTCAGTGAAAATCTTTTTTAAAAAAATCAAACTGAAGAAAAATATAGGAATAGATGAAGAAAAGTATCTATATTCACAATCCAAGTGCATATTGGCATACATTTATGTGAAATGACATACTATTAAGTATTTTTATCACCATATGATTCCTTCTTTACTCATAGAATAAGAGCAACATGTATATCTACGTGATAGGACATCTCATGTTCATTTCCGTGGATAGCAAGTGCCTTATACAGGATTAAATTTGTAAAACTATTGTTTGTACACTTGAGGTTTTTACAAATTAGCTGTTGTTTTTTTATTATCACAATAAACATTAGCAGCTTTGAAGTATGTCAATGTTACTTGCAGAAGAAAATAAAGAAAAATAATCTTTCTGGTGTGAATTAGTACTTTAAAATACTGAGAGATTTACCGAGTGTGATGAACTCCAAAAACTCTCATCATTTGATTAATTTTAAGACTTAAAGATCCTGTAACACATTTTTTTCATGGTTTTATTTCATAAATATGATGCTCAAATTAAGATTTGTTCTATATTGTAAGTTCCAATAAGCATTATTTATAAAGATATTACCGAATTTAATATTTCATGTAAATAAAGGAAGCTAATTAGAAATTTATTTTTTATAAATTCTAAGTCAAACTTTCCCATAAGAAATGAATGCATATAAATTATTGATTAAATATAATGTGCACAAATATTTGCTGTACACATTTTCCAAATTCTTTTATGTTTGAAAATTGTTTTATTTGCATAATTATGTACATATATATTTTCTGCAAGTGTGGTATACAAACACAGTAACAATATCAATCACAAAACATACAGGATCTTTAAGAAATCATTCTGGACTATATTCGGGTATCATATCAGCATTTCACAATTATTTAGATACTGATGTTCAAGCAGATACTAATATGAAAACAAGTACTAATGCTCAAACAAGTACTTATGTACAAGCAAGTACTAATGTACAAGGAAGTACTTATGTACAAGAAAGCACTAATGTGCAAGCAAGTACTAATATACAAGCCAGTACTAATGTCACTATGTGCAAACAAATACTAATGCACAAACAAGTACTAATGTACAAACAAGTACTAACGTACAAGCAAGCACTAATGTACAAGCAATTTAGAAAAAATATGTCGGACAGCTTCATACACACTTGTTGATACACATTAGCCCACCCCGTATATATTTATTTATGTAATTATGTTAAACCAAAGTTAATGATGAAGTTTGTTATGTTTATACTTGCTGCTTAATTTCTTCTTTTTAATGATTGATTATATTATTGATTCTTTTGTAATGATTTATTTGTTGTACAATGAATTAATGTATTTTTTTGTCAAATATTTTTATAATCTGCCAGATCTTCTGAAAAAAAGCTTTTTATGATGTCACCTTTTTAAATACAGTACATGCTTATATTTTTGCTTTCTTATTAGGCAATGTTTTCTGTGAAAGTTATTACCAGTTTATGGCGTTTTTTTGTTGTTTTTTGTGTTACTTGAAAGTAATGTTGACTACACAGTATTGTTATATTGATATTAAACTTCCTTGTACTCACAATGGACTGTCCTGAATTTAATTCCAGACATGTCCAATACACAATTATCACAAGGCACAGGTTAAATATTCTCAATCATAACTTTGTCAAATTATTTCAGTTAAGCAGATATTACTCACTCAAATTATAAGGGTACATTATTTTGTAATGTTCGATTATATGATTGGTAATAATTCATTAAGGTACCAGTTATACAATCAAAATGAAATTGATTAAAGTTTAAGCTTTTTAGAAATATTAAGATGCATATAAATCAAGGCTTGTGTAGCTTGTAGGGTATGATTGTTATATAGTCTATGGACAGTTTTATAACAAATTAAAGAAATCTCAATAAGCCTATGTCACAAAAGAATACCGAAACAAACAATTATCCTCTATACATTCCTTATGTAGCGCCTCAACAAATTGTTAATATATTATTGTTTCAGATGTTTATGTACAATGTTTTGGGCGGCATAACTAAGGTATTTTAGTGAAAACTTTGCTAAGAAATTTTTCCCTTCACTGCCATTTGTTTGAATCACATCAGGGACTTCAGATATTTTTCATGTATGGGCTCTTTGTGCCTGAAAAAAATGCTCAGAGGATAACTTGACCCACCAGAATAGCTAGAAATTTACAGTTTCAGAGTAACTTAAAACCCATCTCAAAACGAGCAATATATGTTAAGTACTTTTAGTTTTTGTCCTCCATAATGATAGACAAATATACAGACCCCTGTAAACAAGGTTCGAAGGTGTGAGTTAGTGTTATTTTTTACATAATTAGTACTTTATTTGTAAACTTAATGTTTAAATTCATATAAGTGTTCAGAATTGTTCAAGAAAGAAGTAAATTTACATGATCAAATGTTATTAAATGAAACACATGCATCACACTTTGATTTGTGTTATTATCTATGTCAAGTATGTAAACATTCCAGTTTATGTTCATAAATATCTGAACAATTCATATAAATCAGTGGTGTTTTCATTTCTGGACATGTAGAGTGTGTCAGCCAATTTGCAAATACATTTAGATATGTATGTGATAGTTAATTATATGTGTTGATTTGAAAATAAGACAAATTTGAACTATAAAAAGGACGTTTTTGTGGGTTGATATTTACATGTTTACGGATATTGAAGAGTTATTAGATTTATAACCTCACTTACGCACAAAGTCAGGTTTTGCAATGGCAGTGTATCTGTCTTTCATCGTTGTCCACAATTTGTTTTTAAACCGCTTGATGGATTTTGACCAAACTTTACATGAACGATTTTTAGGTGGTTTTCTCCAAGTTCTATAAATGGTTCCAGTCTGATGCTTAAGTAGTTTGCAGGATATAAAATAAAATCTTTAAAAATCTTCTTTTCAGAAATTACAATGCCCATGTATTACCTTGTGGTTCTCTACAAAAGTTATTTAAATCATGCCCATGGAGTCAAAACTGGTTCCTGTCCCGGAGTTCATTGAGTTTATATAGACTTATATAGTAAATCACATTTAATAAAGAAATAAAGTCTTCTGTGAAATAACAATGTCAAGAGCTTAGCAGGCATCCATAAGCTTGTTAAAAATTATGCAGCATGGTAAAAAATGACGTCATTACTGATTAACATTTGGACCATTTTCTAGCAACGTATCTCAGGTGAGCGATCCATGGTCCTCTTGTTGATATAGATGTGAATATCACGATTGAGTGAACTTGGGACTATCAAATATCTGAAACGCCAAAGCTGGAATCGTGAATATCAGATCAATCGTTACAGCCCTTTAACAATGTTACAGAAGAAAATCCTTTCCCACATTTTTTTTCCAAATATTAAACGATAAAACATAAACCTGTATGTATATATAATTTAATACAATTTGTAAACAGTATACAAAAATACACTTAAATAGATAAAAACAATATATTAGTTTATATAGATTTGCTGTCATCAGTTGTAAAAAGCTGTGATAGAAAAGTAAAAATAAAATGTAAGATAAAAAGTAAAAATAAAACATAAGATATAAAAAGTAAAATTTGGGATATAAATAGGGGAAAAACGCAAAAGATAAAATGTGTGTAGATAATTATGATTGTAAAGAAACTGATAAGTTGCAGACGAACGATGGGATTACTAACCTCTACCGTCTGCCAAACTTATAAATGCGATAAAACAAACCGACAACCGATACCAACAAGAGAAATGTGATACCGTCTTAAAACAGTAGAATGGGAAAAAACTTAAAACTTTTTTTACTAATATTCGGCTTTAAACTGGAACTGACGTTTATTTTGCTCGGGCGCACGCTAACCGATTGATTTATGCTGAAAGTGTTGCCAAGAGAATGACTTGGAGGTGGAGTAGAAAAAAATCATGTCAAGGGCTGTAAAAATCTTTCTTCGAAATTCTTTTTTGTAGTTGTAATATACTGAACGGTATCCAAATTATTACAATCGAAGTGAGAACCATGAAAATTTGCGCTCGTTATGAAAACTTCGGCTTTGCTTCCACGGACACAACACATAAACTTGGCATGGAAAGTTTTCCCGGGGTCCACAATCTTTTCGTATATGGACTCAAGTCGCGTCTGCATCTTTTTGCTTTTGTCGTCTGACTTTATTTCACCTGTAACAGTTTCTTGTAGATCTGAGATTGATTTACTGAAATTGCACTTTTCTCTCACATAAAAGCTTGCGATTCTATCGTCTGCTTCATTCAACAAAGCTATCCTGCAGACCTCTTGCATGCGTTGCTCGTCAAGAAAGGGTGTTACAAGGTATACTTTTGAGGTTTTGTACGCCAACCATTTATTAAGCAACGTCTTCCAGAGCGGGTAGATAAAATCTTTTCCACGAAACACCCCACCATCAGAAACGTCTCCAAGCTTTTCTTTTAATGTACGTTTATCCCACTGAAAATAAAGGTTAATTTATCGTACTGGGATGTATATAGACTAGTATATGATAACTTATGTGCTTATGACATGAAATACGAGTATACATATATTATTTAACTTTAAAGATATCCAATCAAAAAGCAGTTGCGATGCTCTCAATGTATAAATATATTGATTTTACCATTGTTTGAATAAAACTCCTTTTTTGGCTAATATTTTATGAACTATAACTGCCAAAGCTTACGTATTGGACATGAAACATTGTCTATTGGACCATTACAAAGTTTATTCAAATTATAGGACTGGGGTAAATTGACCCTTCTCCTATGGATTATCGGTTTTCCTAATATGTATATTGTAAAAATTTTAAATACCATCGCTTAACCAATAAAGGCTATAGCTAAGATATTTGACATGAAAGTCAACCTCTACCAAGTTAGTTTAAATTCTAACTCTGGAGTCAACTGTTACACTCTCGCAATCAAAATGTACTTTGAAATACTCACAACGTCTATATCTCCACCTATACCATCCAGGGTTTCAAATCCTTCACTGCCACTCTCTGCCATCTAAAAGGCACCAGTTTATACATATTTGAATAGTTTGCAGTTTTATACTTGTTGTTTATATATCTTAATCTCAAAAATTATTGATTTTCCTTTTTATATTAAATTTTAACGACTGGTATTGCCTTAGTTAAAGTGAAATTGTCCATGATGGAAGGTTTGTAATACAGTTAGTTATTATTTTTTATTGTATTTAGTAGTTTTAAAAAGATGTTGTAGGGCTATAGCATATCTTTATATAGCAGATAATAAATTGCTCTAAAACACATTATTATTATCATCATCATTATCATCATCATTATTATTTATTATTATTATTATTGTTATTATTGTTATTATTATTATTATAATAGATAGATGTTCATACTAAATCACTTAAATCTCGATCTACATTTTGTTCAAGAAATATTTTATGGTGATATCCAAATGCAACTTTTTTGAATGCTTTTATCAACATTTGAAATTTCCTACCGAAAAATTTGCCCAATGTATATCAATCCACATAAAGCCATATAGATAATTAATTTGTATTCCTCGGATTCCGTGGTTCTAAAACACTCGAGAAATTTTCGTTTAATTGTATAAGAATATGAGGTTATTTTCATTAAATGATTTTTTTAATTAAAATAAGTATTTCCACAATTAAGTATAAAAGGGTACCTTTTAATAATATTGTTGTCAGGCAGAAAAAGTAAATTCCGTTTTGATACGTCGTGAAACTTGACAATTTTATAATGATAGGTATTATAATATGTTGTACTTGACTGTCCACTTATCAAATGACCTATATCCTGGGCAAATATTTGTATTGAAATTGAAAATCAATATCGATCTTGTACATGAATTTATTTTATGAGCTTTATAAGTGGTAACCATCCTTATTTTGTGTAAGATAAAGCTAAATTATGATACTTGCCTACGCAAATAATTTTTAATGGTAAATAAGTATTTTCAACATATGTCACTAAATATTATACGATGTGTGTCGCGAATTAAATGATATCAACTGTCTAGCTTTTCTATGCTTAATGTATGTCGCTAACAACTTATATGATGTTGGAAGACCGGCGCAAAGTGAAACACTTCCGACAAGTGTGTTTTTTGTTGTTGTTTTTTTTGTTTTTTTAAGTACGAATGGTGGCCTGATTTCGACTTTTTTCTGTAAGACATTTTTCATATCTATTCTTACTAAATATATAATTATTTTACAAAAACAAGTTGAGATCGTTGCCTAGAAAATATAAGTGCATGGCAGTTATTTACAGTTAAACTACAAGTCAAAGTGTTTCAACCTTTAAAGAACGTATTTGTTTCAGTTTACACAACCAATTTCTTCTGAAACGTCTCAAATTAAAAAATAAATTTATTTTCTGTAATTCCAGAGTGCCGTCCCAACAAATTTTGCTGACGACTCGGGGACAAGAGATCATTTCAGGTCCCAGGGCAACAATATTTTAGTTCACATACGACCATAATTTTGTAAAAATCTGTGCAAGATATAGGCCTTGGGTAGTGCTATATAATGGTGTGTGAAACAGTTTGGTTTGCATGATGACCTTCACTGGTATACAACTGATTAGTCTCAGGACGATGAATTATTTTCTACACACACAACAAATTCCCTATGTGATTAATGTACAAGGTAGGTGTATACACCATATCAGATACTGTAAACTACCTGTGTATGATTGTGTCATCAATAACAAATAACATAATTCATAAAAGTGTTTTAAAATCTTTTACTACTTTCCAATACATGTATATCAATCAACAACTAGTGTATGAACAATAGAATAAACAATATTATAGCATAAAATCGGCTATTTTTCCCTCTTTTGCCCATGTTATAACGGGACCAAAACCATGTGTTAACATAGTCACGCGCTCTTGTTATAGCCCGGTTTCACCTATGCGCAATACATACAGGGCCCAGTAAACAAACAAACAAAAAATGACGATTTGGCCTGTTTGCCGAAGAGTCATGCGCTCTTGTTATATTGAAATTTATTTAATTCGAGGGCCTCAGTCGCATATTTAAGTAACTATGCCGGAAAAACGGCGTATAGACATCGGTGCTAATCTTGGTTGTCGCCCTTTCTAAGAAACGGACAGTTGTCAATGTAAACAAATACAGTAGTTCTAATCTACCTGTCATTCAGTTTAACACTCCGATTAACTTACACAACTAGATAACACAAAATTAATATGAGAAAATGTTTTTTATTTATGTTAATGTTGATAAATGCTCTTTATATTTCTTTGAGAGAATAATGCTTAGTGCCTGATTTTTTTATAAACTTGTTTGTTTAAAAAAAAAACCGATTCTGATGTCACTGATCTTTTTTCTACCGTCAATCTGAAATCATTCTAAGAATTTCTGAGGGTCATGTTTTGTCTTGGGTAGAGGGTAGAGTAATGTAACGTTTTTTTCTTGAGATAATAAATCTCCAAAGGCCAAGCTTTGTTAAATCATTTAAAATTCAAAATTTCGTTCGGTTCCGAGAATTTTCCAAGTTGTTGGTCCGGAAAAATGAAACGCATACGTAAAACATAGAATTGGATAAATACCGTCCAAGCACAAGACTTTAATGTAATTGTGTTTTGTATAAACTATACATCACGAATCTGTTTGAAAATTTTATGCTATAATAGCGTCAACGCACGTTTATTTCGTGTTATAAAGTCTGCAGAGTCCCTCGGAACTGTTGGAGCCCTCGCCCTACCGGGCTCGGGCACCAACCGTTCCTCGGGACTCTGCAGACGTTATAACACGGAAAAACGTGCGTTAACCCTATAATAAAAAACACATTACAAAATTTCACTAAAAAGAATGCCATGATGGCTTTACATCGCTCAACTAACATGCATTGTTAAAAAATCTGCACTGCAGAAAGAAACAAACAGATCACATTTGGTGCGTTATTTTTGACCCCAACAGCGTGACTTTTTTAATTTCCCTTGACAAAATGCTACATACCAAATATCTAATCTCTAGACATTTAGTTTCCCTAACATTAAAATGTGTTTCCAAACAGGTAAAAATAAAGTAGTTTTGACAGTGGCATTATCAATACTTGTAAAAAAAACTTTTTATACAACAACAAATCGATGTTTCATGCCACAAATCGATGCTTCATGCCAAGTATCAATGCTCTGAGCACTGTAGTTTCAGAGGTGAGGTCTTTTAAAACATGTTTACGAGTCTATGTAAACTAATAAAACAAGTCGATATTTTGATCCCAGGGGCATGGTCCATATATCTGTTGTAGAGGTCCTCAGGGTATTATAAAATTCTATGAGCCAAATATCTAAACTCTGGGCATTGTACTTGTAGTTTTTGTGACGTTTTTTTTTTTAATTTCAGTTTTATAGTCTTATTTCTACTTGTGAATCAGACTTGAACCATTTTATCATTTGTAGAGGGCCACCTTGGGGATTATTCATGCAAGTTTGATCATAATCCATATTGTCGACAGGACAAGACGTTGTATAAATCAACTGAAGATAATGATGACCAACAAACATATTAATATCACAAAAGCAAAAAGAAGGGCTAAATCTAATGTTGTAAGAACTTGTTGCCCAACCCATTTGTATTTTGATATATACTCATTATTTGTATAATATGTTTGTAAACATGTATTTAATGCAATAAAATATGTTAAAACTAGAAAGCTAAATAAAGAGTGTTAATACTGTAAAATGAGTGACAAAATTTTCAATGCTGCCAATACAGGCACATCGAGAATAAATGCAAAATATACCCTTATCTTGGAAAAAAAATACCATTTCTTTCAAACTTTGTAGGAGTACAATGATTTTATATATAAAATGGAATTCTAGCTTTTGTATATATAATACATACTTATGAACTTTTTTAATAAAGCAGTTTAATTGCTGTAGATAGAAAGGGGTCAACAGACAATAAAAAATTATCATATGAAACAAGGATAACCCATACATGTATATCAACAATACAATGTGGTTATGAAAAATTCCTTTCAAAATAGTCAACCAAAATCTTTACAAAAATTTCCTTTGCATTCATTAACATAAAATCTTAACTCTTTTCATTTCGTATCACAGTCAATTAAAAAATACTTAAATAGATCACATGTTAATGACAATGTAACATAGATAAACAAAATTAATAATGATATTGTACTTCATTCAAAGTGTACACATAAAAATCTCCTCTAACATGTACATATAAAACTAGCATAAAACCATGTTAAAAAAGTAAACAATGTGTATATAAAGAAAATCTAAAAAATAACATTTATGGTAAAGTGATATATCACAGGCAAGAATCTATTCTAAAATGCACTAACTTAAAAAGCTAAACTTACAACAATATATAAACAATCAAAGCAATCTGTCCCTTCTTTCTTATCTGATCTTATAAGTTGCAAAACCAAATCACAACTAGTTAACAAAGAAAAATTAATAAAAACACAGACATAAAAATTAGTTTCCTGATCACTCTGAAAAATGTCTCCATTTTGCATATCATCTTTCCTTTCACTGCATCTCCAAATATATACCGGTATATATATTTTTTTAAAATTTGAATGTCTCAACAGTGTTTCATAGATAATACAGATTTATTAGAATGGAATATTTTTCAGTATAGTTCAAATGCCTAAAAAGTACTGTTATTATAGCATCTACCTCATACCTATATACTAAAACAATTCAATAATATTATCGGTAACTCAAACTTCCAACATATAATTCCCTACAATCATATCTAAATCTATGATGCATGTTAAGTTACATAATCTAGCAGAGTCATATGTATTTAGATATGTCAGTGTTCCCTTATTTCTTTTCTAATACTGAAGCATTGATTGGTGCCAGAAACCTTGAGATAAATTCTACGTCTGACATCGTCTGAAACTGTACACTGTCCATGTTGCTATATTCAAAATGGTCGCCATGAAAGTTGGCACTCGTGATCAGCACTTCTGCTTCGTTTCCTTTTATACAAGCAATAAATTTTGCATGAAACCTTTTCAGTGGATATATAATATTGTTGAATATTTTGTATTCTATAAAAACCTGGTCCTTGACGTCATACTTTTCTAATGCATTTTGCTTCACTTCAAATATATCCCTATTATGGTCACATTTCTGACGCACATAAAACGCGTCAAGGTTAGCCTCAAGACGATGCTCAAGGATGATGTTGCAGACGTCAACAAGTCGGGAGGAATCGAGAAATGGCGTAACAATGTAAACTTTACGGTCAGGATCACTGAACCAGTGGTGTAGTACAGATTTCCAGAGTGTGTAGATAAATGTAGAACCATCCCGTACACTGCCGGTGCGTAGATTATCAAGCTGTGCCGTTAATGTATCTCCTGACCACTGTAAATATAAACTGTCTTATTAGAGAAATGTTATATAATATCATAAATCTTTGGTTTAGAAAAAAAGGTAATGAAATAAAAAGACTGTTTAAAGACTTTAACTTTGTTATAAGACTATTTCAATAGCGCTGCTACAAGCAGAACTGTATCATGCAATACAGAAACCTATTTTGAGCATCAATTAACTTGACATCAAAAGTGCCTTACTATGTTGCCTCTTTAAATAAAGGCTTTATTATTATTATTACTCTCCAACTTCAAGAAAGGGTAGATTATTGCAAGATACAATGTAAAAGTATCATTCACTCAATGAAAGTTTTTGTGCACAAGCATATATTCTCTTTTTCTAAGCAATGTAACAATGATACACACCCTAAGCACATTAATTATTTCAAAACAAAAAAACTTGTATGAATAATTTTAAAGAAAGGGAAAGAACTTCAAAAAGTGCTCTGTGTTAGTGTGAATAGTTTTAAAGAAAGGGAAAGAACTAAATTGGTGCTGTATGCTTCTTCAATAAACAGAAACAACATGGATGTTATGTTAGAATAATACTGTAAAATAATAATGTCAACATCATTGGTAAAAGGAAGGTGAGTCAGACTTATAGTTCTTGTTGTTTGATGTACCCTCTAAAATGCTTCAGTCATTTGGTGACAATATTATACTGTAGCTTACAGTTAAAGAACTATGTTAAAACAAAGTTTCGAACATACATCTACAGTTACATTAAACATACTATATAATATTCATTTTTAAGATAAAAAAAGCCACATAAATTTACACAACAAAAAAGAAGGACTACATACTACATCTAGAGAGATAAGTTTAAGCTCAGTTGCCAACTGGTCGGCCATGGAATCTTCTGCTATCTTCAACCTCTCCCTCAATGTAGATGTTTCTATAGCAACAAGTAAATTTACAACAATATTCTTATACATTCTGTATGTTCACTAGTTGACAAAGTAAGCATAGTAAATGAAAATAGCATTCACAGACGAAAATCCTAAAATGAATTTTTCAGATGGGACAAAAGTTTTGGAAAGACTTTTGACTGTGTCCCAGGAATTGTATTAAATCATCTGACAATCAGTCTAAAATATAAAACTAATCAAACTGGTTTTCTTTTATCTACATTTATACAAAAGTTCTGTGTAAAAGTGTAACACTGTTTGGTACCACCTTCCTTCCTTTCCTGTTACCATAGAATTACAATAACTATATATATTGACAACATTTTTGTGTTTATTGCCAGCAAAAGGGATACATTTAAACAAGTTTTTATTATGGTAACCCTGATGCCATAGATGTTAAAGGACAAGTTAAATCAGTGTCTGAGGCTCAAAAAGAATTTAAGGTATTACAGAGTAGAAAGAAAATGAAAAGTACAGCACCCAATGAACCAGGAAATAAATAAAACATAAGTAGTAATTTAAACCAGCAGAAAATGTTATTTTATCTATATACATGTACATGTAGTTAGAACTTATAAATAGTATAGCGTTTTCCAATATGTAATAAAAAAATCATTTTGAATAATACTTAAATTCTGGAAAAATAAAATTGCCAGAAATTCTATTTCCTGGAAGCATGCAGATTTAAAGTGTCTAAAGCTTTATATTTGCTGCAAAACTTTCAATTTAAAAAAAAGTACTTCCAAGATGTTTGTATGAAATAGATATGGTAGTAAATTGCCTTATTTTTTCTAATCTTAAAGTGACATTATGCTCATATTTTCCTAGTCAAATTTAGCTGAATTGACTTTATATTTCAAAAGATTGACTGTTAAAATGGTGTTTGACCAACAGTTGATATTGGAAAACGTTCAGGATAAAATTATAAATCTGCCTAAAATATAAAAAGACTGCCCCACTCTTTTTATAAACTGAGCGTTATAGGTAAATTCTAATTTTACAGTAATTTTACTTATGTAAGTGCATAATTTATTGTTTATGGGAAGTTAATTAAAAGTATTTATGGCAAAATGAAAACTTATTTTGATATTCACCTGTTCACTCACTATATACCATTGGATAGGCATAATGTCACTTTAAATTGCAAAATCATTGCTAAATGGATAAAACCCGTTTTAAAATAGCAGAAAAATATTTTGTTCTGCCACATTTTATTCTGTTTTACTTCAATAAAATGTATGTTAAATTACAGAGACATTCTATGTTACAACTCTTTCAAGAATGGAACATAAGATTACTGAACAATATAATTTTACTAATGATTAATTTTAAAATAATATTTCATGAGAACTAGCTTTATACACTTTAAATTAAGCTCAAGGTTTGCCTTAAACATGACCTTGAACTTATTATTGTAAGAACATATTTCTAATTCCAAATAATTTCAAATATATTGAAGTACATACAATTTGGAAAATATACATTGTAGCTAAAGTTCGCTTATATTCAAACAACCATTTTAAAATAAAATCTTTCTTTTAACACATTTTACTAAAAAGAATTTACAATACGTAAGATTGCAATAAAACATTGTATTAAATATACCTGTCTCTGTAACTGTAGTATTTTCAATATCAAACTTTGCCACCTCTGTGTTAACTGTATCCAGAACTGTATCTAAATCATCAGCGACTTTAATAGCATTATCTTCTCTCTCTCGTACTTCTTTTTCTTCTGATGCTTTAAAAAAAATCAACTCACCATTCTTTATTCTGGTAATTTTTGGAACCTTTTAACTTTCTGCTCTTTAAAAGATATCTTTACTTAACATTTTACCTATATTTCACTATTTATGAGCCAAGGAAGGGGGATAATTCAGAGAAAAGACAGAAAAGGCCATGCTATTTATAAAAGATCTTGGTCTGTGTCCTTCAGTTATGATCCTGAAACATTTGTTAAATTTCTATTAAATAGCTTAAGTAGTATCATGTAGAACTTCCCTGCAGACCCTTAACCAGAAATTCAAAAAGCTCAAAAAGGGAAATAATTTGACAAAAACCCTGCTTGAGTTATGGGACTTGATCAGGAAGGTACAATTATATTCCAGTAGACATATGTAGTCCATAGCTGGACAGCTTCCTCTCTGTTATAAATTACTCAGCTGCTGATACCTCTGGACTTGAACACAGTTTCACTTTCTTACATATTATATATAAACTGGTACTAAAACAAAAGTTATATTTCTGACAGCATTATATCAAATTATAATGTAATCAAAATTGTAATCAGCATACCTTTCTTCAGTGTATCATCGTCCATCAACTGTTTCCAACTTTCAGTATACTGGGAATAACATGTACTCAGACGCTGTGGATCTTTGATTGGAGCATCATATGCTGACAGTATACTAGGAAATGTGTTTATAAACCATTCCAGAACAAAATGTCCTTGAATCATCAAAGTACCTGTGCTCATAAATGTTGTAAGGGTAACACTGTCAACTTTCAATATTACCTGCAAATATAATCATTTAACATTAACTTATAATAGTTACAGTACAAACGACAATACATGTACATATTAGGGCTGAAACTGACTGAAAGAAGAACAAATAAAGAAATGAATTTAACATGTAGGCATTAATTATAAGTGTATAAAACATCATGTATCAGGACTACTTGACAACAACTGGTAAACCCAAAACTGGCGATCGCGATCACTTTTTTGTATTAATATTACTAAACAACATAACAAGGGCAACACTTTGGCAAGATACGCCCGTCACAAAAGGTTTTGACAGAGATGTGGGCATTATAGATATGCATATAGGAGATATGCTCTGGGAAATATCCAGAAAATATCTTGTTCATATCTGCCTTGGGATGATATTAAGTAACTAAGTTAACAAATTTCTCTGGGTTTTACGCCAATTTTAACATATCTCTTTGTCATAAGTTGACTGTCAAAAGTGACTGAGTACTAATTCCACATGAATCATGACAGTTAAAACAAAACAGCTATGAGCAATTGTAATTGAGCAAGCGACCCCCTGTATTACTAATCCAATGCTTTCCATATTAAGCTAAGTGGATGGACACTTTGTATTCAAAAGAGCTAATTTAAATAAAGGCTTAAAAGTTTCAAAGAAAGTTTTACCTTATCATTGCCATGCTTATCATACAATTGCTTGTATGGAAATTTCGGCATCGGATAATTATTCTTATGTCTTAATACCCGCAACCAAAACATAGCTAAAGCAGTTGATCCATGCTTTGACCGATGCTTCACTGTGATTGTGTTGCTCTTGGAAACATCTAGGAATACCTGTTCTTGTATCTTTGTATATACAAACTCTCTTATTGATCTTTCTATGGCTGTTTCACCCTCCATGGCTCCTTTAAAAAATAACATATCTAAATACAGTAGAATTTCTATGAGTCAAACTTTATCAGTTGATTTTCACAATGTGTCAAAGTAAAATGGAAGTGCTAATTTTTCCCCCAATAAATTTCTTATAAAAACCTATATATGAATATAATAATTATATTTGTTTTAAAGGCATTCTTATTATATTTACATCAAATACATAAAGAGTACCTATGTGTAATTGCAATTGGTTACATATTATTCCTTCACACAGTTATGTATGTTAAGTCGCAATACACCCATAAACACTTTTCATATGAACTAGGTAAATAACCGAGGTATATCGAGTGAAAAAATACGAGTTGTTTCCCTTATCTTCGAGTAAAATTGGTATCTCATACGCTAAGACAATACAAATTAAGCCATTTTTAAACCGCTTGTTTGTTGTGATTAAATGTCCGATTTTAAAAATTATTACATCAATGGAAAGCTTGGGATCTAAGCTTTGTCACAGTATATAATTTTACATATCTTTTGACACCAAAGTATTTAAATTAACTGTTAAACCTACCATATGTCAGCCCATTTTACATACGATTTATATATTGAGATACGCAACCGGTTATCTTTCCTCGAAAACCTACTGAAAAGAATAGCCTGTCGTCTGCTAGTTGGGGAAAGTGTTTATCGGTGTATGGTTTAATATAGATTGTTCTAAAATTTTGATTTTCTTTGCGACTGTATTAATTAAGAGACGCCCTGTCATATGTGACCTTTTTTTAAAGGTCCCTTGGAAAGTCACATTGTCTTGAACATGAGCAGCAAAATACTTATATAACATATCGCCCGCACCGCAAACTCCAACTTTGCCAAGAAGGCCATACTGGCCGCATGATAATAAGAGTACATAGATTGTTTTACGTGTTCTTGGATTGCTTTTATTTGAAAATCTTCTAATTTTTCGACATATAGACTATTTCTATTTTTTTTTACAAAAAAACAAAAGTATCAAATCCAGTACTGGTATTTTAAGAATAGTATATAACAGTAATTTACGAAGTTACAATTCGGTATTGGACCGATACCGGGAACTTGTGTCCAAACATAAAAAACCTAAGGTTCAGGATTTGTGAGCATTTTCACTAACCACAGAGGCTTTATTTAAAAGAAAGTTGATGGTGTAGCCCTCACCCTCCCCTCCTATTTAAAGAGTTACGATCGTTAAGTTTAGGTTAATTTCTTTGGGTCGAAACATTTTGGGTCGAAAACACGAATTTTTGATAAAACACTTTTTGTTAAAATATTAGCTTGGAAACCAGACCCAATTTTTTAAGAACAATATATAAAATAGAGATATTTACAAGTAAAATCGTGCTTTCTTATTAAATGCAGCAAATACAACGAAAGGATGATAAAATTTTAACCTGTCAATATGTCAATATCGACTTAGCAACTTTTGTTTATAAACACCGGTTACCTTCATCGTGAAGAGCACATAGCGATTTCCTTCCCGCGAAAGATTTCCCGCCGTTAGTACACCACGTGAACAAACAAACAAAAAAGAAAGATGGACACTGGCTTTGATGACCCAGGAATATTTTTCAGCGATAACTTTGGTTCAGAAGACCAAAATAATGAAGATCAAATAAACAGGACACAAGTAAAGAAAAGATTTAAAGACTTCATACGACAATTTCATGAAGGAAACTTCTCATATCGTTACAGGTGACATAATTTTTGGCATACTGATTTGAAAGAAAGAAAAGAAAATGAGCATGATAGACACAATTCATCTGTTCATAAGTTACTTTTATAAAGTACATGTCACTTAAATGGTCTGGTTTGGCCGCAATTTCCTAGTATAATTTCTATGTAAGGCATAGGCATTTCAGGGCAAAAAAGTTTTTTGATCGAATACCCTTTGTGACCGACTACCCGCCGTGATTTTTTACAAACTACATCGTACGTCGGCGAAATCACACTTGATTTTAACGCGACGGGTGGTGCTAGGTCAAGAAAGTTAGAAGAAATTGGATAGGTCAAAAGAAAGAGATATAGACAAAAAGTCTGGCCAGCTACATTTCGCCTCTTCAACCCAAACCTCTCCGGTTACTGATCACTGATCTGGCAAAATTTAATTATAAATTAAGAATATAAGTATGTTATCCCTATTTACATACGAAATAGGCCGAGTGGTTAAGGTCGTTGACTTCAAACCACTTGCCCCTCACCGCTGTGGGTTCGAATCCCGACAGGGACTTTGGATTCTTTCATGTGAGGAAGCTATCCAGCTAGCTCACATAATGTCGGTGGTTCTACTCAGGTGCCCGTTCATGCCTGAAATAATGCAAGGAAGGGCATCTGAGGTCTTCCTCCACCAGTAAAGATGAAATGCCGCGATATGACCGATACTGTGTTGATGTGACGTGAAACCCAAAACAAACAAAAAACATACAAAATATATACTTAATTGTATTTCAGAGATGAACTAAAACGCCATTATAATCTTGGAGAGTATTTTCTAGAAGTAGATGTCGAGGATGTAGCCAGCTTTGATGAAACTCTTGCTGAAAAGTTGTATAAACTACCCACAGAGCATCTACCTCTGGTATAATTTTGCTTTCATTACACATTAACCTTTTACATACATGCCATAATGTCCGGGACTGTCACAGAAATCAGATGAAATATATATATCGACATAAAATTTTAATTATTGTGGCAATACGTTCTAATACATAAAATTTTGTAATAAAAGGGGCATTCTCCTGGAAGCAGTATTTTTTTTCATCGCTATGTTCATTTATAAATAATTGGGCATTGATAGTAATTGCTCTTAACACAACATATCTTGCTTTTATAAAAAAATTCAAACAATGAAGGACAAAAATTGAAAGAAAAAAATTGCTGGAAGATGAATTGACTTGTATGTTTAGAAATGAATTTGTCGCCTCCTATTATGTGTTTATTTCAACATTTAAATCATTGAAATGATGATATTTAAGAATCAATATTATGACCAAGCTGTCAAGATCATTCCTGTTTAGTTTCTTGATACTTATTTATAAAGGTATGACAATTATTGCATGTGAGGAACGTCCATTGCCGAGTGGTAAATGTCTTTGACTTCAAACCACTTACCCCTAACCAGAGGCACTGAATTCTTTTATGACAGGAAGCTTACAAAATGGCAGTGTTTCTACTCAAGGCCTCTTCATAGCAAAAAATTAACCATACAACCACTACTGTGTTGGTGCCACGTTAAACCCAACATTAAAATGTTCTTTTATTTGTCTAGTTTGAAGATGCAGCCAAGGAAATTGCAGATGAAATAACGAAGCCCCGCCCAGAAGGAGACGAGGATGTTCAGGATATACAAATAATGCTTACTTCAAAAGAAAATGCCTGTAATATACGAGCACTCAAGGTTAGTGCAATCAGATCTATGTAGGAATACATAAATTATTGTCTATATTATGGTGATAATTAGATGGACTTAAGATAGTAAGTTATACTGATTTGTTTTTAAAGAAATTAATTAATTTTGTTTTCAGATTTGAAACAGTTAATAGGTACTATATGATACATAATAGACATAATTTGATATATGGATCAAGTATGATATCATTAGAATGTTTGTAGATTTAGCTTCTTATTTTCAGTCGGAGCAAATGGCAAAGCTGGTTAAAATTCCTGGGATAGTCATTGCTGCATCTGCCATCAGATCGAAGGCAACATATCTGTCTATCCAGTGCCGTAGTTGTCGTAATGTTGTAAACAACATCGCTGTCAAGCCGGGTCTTGAGGGGTACAGTCTGCCCAGGAAATGTAACACGTATGTTCCTTCTTTGATGTTAAAATATTATAAGTGCAAAACTTAGCTTATTTCTAAGATCAGAAGTGCTTGTTTGCTTGTTCTTTTGAAACAATGGTAATTTGATGGTATTATTGAGTCAACACCTAATGAGAAAATTTTACATTTAAAATGCATGTTGAGAAATTAATTTTGATAGATGAATTGTTTTATTAGCTCACCTGAGCACAAAGTGCTCAAGGGTGTCAGTGAGCTTTTGTCATCACTCTGCGTCTGTCGTGCGTCCTTCAAAAAATGGCGTCAAACTTTTCAAACAACATCTCCTCCTAAACCACATGGCCAATTGCAACCAAACTTCGCAGGAATGTTCCTTTGGTGGTCACCTTTAAAAATTGTTCAAAGAATTTAATTCCATGCAGAACTCTGGTTGCCATGGCAACCGATAGAAAAAACTTTCTTCTTTTAAAAAACCCAAAGAGGTAGAGCTTAGATATTTGGCATGAAACATCTTCTAGTGAGTGTCTATCAAGTTTGTTCAAATAAAAGCCCTGGGGTCAAAATTGGCCCCGCCCCGGGGGTCATTGATTTTCCATATATGCATATAGTAAAAACTTAAATCTTCTTTTAAAGAAACCAAAGAGCTAGAGCTAAGATATTTAGCATGAAACATCTTCTAATGGGTGTCTACCAAGTTTGTTCAAATAAAAGCTCTGGGGTCAAAATTGGCAGGCCCCAGGGGTCATTGATTTTCCCTATATGCATATAGTAAAAACTTATAAAATCTCCTTTTAAAGAACCCAAAGAGCTAGAGCTAAGATATTTAGCATGAAAGATGTTTTATTGGGTGTCTACCAAATTGGTTCAAATACAGGGTTGCCAGCGGACTTGAAAAGTCAGGGAAATTGGGTATTTTTTCAAGGTCAGGGAATTGTCAGGGAATTTTGAAATTTGGTCAGTGAAAAATGAAAATCCTGAAAAGTCAGGGAAAAATTATTTCAAAGGTCGAAAAAAATATACGCATTAAAGGTCTTTCTTGGCTATGGCAGTCTTTAAGCATTTAATATTTGACTTTATCACTCTCACAGTTAAGCATTAAATTCAAATAACAGTAAAAATGTTATATTAAGAAGCATTATATGTTAACTTAGTGATTATAATACCCATTATTTACCTTTAGAACATCATTCAGCCTAAAGACTGAAAGGCTTTTCAACCCTTGCTCCAGAGCTGACTAAATATGTAATTTTTGTTGCATAATTTAACCAGTTTCCATCATGTTTGCAAGACATATCCTCTTGTACAATTTCTTAGTGTCAAAGCAAAAAGCAAAGCAGGTTATATGCCAATATAGTAGTTTGGTATAACATGTAATACTGACTTGATTTTGTTAGTAATTAAAAGCCCTTCTTTGCTTTTTGCTTTGACACTAAGAAATTGTACCAGAGGATACATGTATGTCTTGCAAACATGATGAAACTGGTTAAATTATGCAATGCTATGTTTTTTTCACACTAACCTTTTCTTACCACTAAACTTACTTCACTCATTCAAAAGTCCTTTAATTTTATAGTGATTATTTCATGATATGCCAAATGAGCCCTATGTTCTTGTTTTCACAATCAGTGTTTATGCAATGATGCCTTATACAAGTTAACTGTGTTAAATGTTTATTTGTTCTTATAGTTTTAGAGATGTTTGAATTTTAAGTTTTGTCATTCAAGTATTACTCTTAATAGTCTTGGTGTTTTATGAGTTACTACTAGGAAGGCCGAGTGACTTATCTGAATTTCTAATACAGATGCTTAATATTATGATTCTTTTGATTTTCATGTCATATGTTTCATTGACAAAACATGTCACACTGTGTTTGAAATAGAAAATAGTTAAGAATAGTAGAACACAATGTTTGAATCATAACTTTGATGTAAATGTTTTATATTTTGGAAAATAAATACAAGTTTACATGCAAAAATATAATGGGAGGATTGAACGGCTATAGGGGAGGTCAGGAGGCTGTTTATGTGTTTGACGATTTTGGTCAGTGAAAAACATGAATTGGTCAGTGAAAAGTCAGGGAATTTTATTTCACCAAAGTGCTGGCAACCCTGAAATAAGAGCCCTGGGGTCAAAATTGGCCCTGCCCCTGGGGTCATTGATTTTCCTTATATGTGTATTGCAAAAACTTTAAAAAAAAATCTTCTTTGAAAAAACCCAAATAGCTAGAGTTTAGATACTAAGCATGAAACATCTTCTAGTGAGTGTCTACAAAGTTTGTTCAAATAAAAGTCATGGTTCGATGATTTTTGGCAGAGTTATGCCCCTTTTACTTTGAAATTTTTTTCAGGAATACCCAGGCCAAGTTCGAATTTGGTCATGGTTCAATGATTTTTGGCAGAGTAATGCCCCTTTCACTTTGAAAATAATATGAAATTTACAGTTTCTGTTCATTATCTACCCAACAGTGTTACACAGTATTCAACTTAAATTTGACATATGGATATGTCAAAGGAATGGGCAGGTCAAGTTGGAATTTGGTCATGGTTTGATGATTTTTTGGCAGAGTTATGTCCCTTTCACTTTGAAAATAATATAGATACATCTTAGGAATAAGCAGTTTAAGTTTGAATTTGGTCGTGGTTCAATGATTTTAGACAAACTTATCTTTCCTGAATGTTGGAAAAATTTTGAACTTTCAGTTTCAGCACTCGTACTTTTAGCCATTATTTTGGCTACAAATATGCAATATGCTATTTATAAAAGGTTAAGACTGAATAATTTCAGTGCCTTGAACGTTGTATGAAAATGGTTTGTGTTAACATTGAAAAGTTTTAAGGGCTTTGAACTTAAAATGAAAAAAATAATTAATGCACCATCTGAAATTTTGGCTGCATGCGGGGGCATCCGTGGCATGATGACACATTTCTAGTTTTAAAAAACTCAACCTTAGATGTTGAGCATGAAACATCTTCTAATGGGTGTCTATCAAGTTTGTTCAAATAAAAGCCCTGGGGTTTAAACTGGCCCGCTCTGGGGGCCTAAATACAGGTGAGCGACTTCAGGGCCATCATGGCCCTCTTGTATTTGGAAATGATGTGTAATTTTACAGTCTTCAAATTAATATATATTCTATATTTATTCTTTTTGATATTTTAACAAATTTCATGCCCAATGTTATAAAGGAGGTGACAAGTTATTTATATGCAAGTTTAGGTTTCAGTTATGTCAATATTTGTTGATTTGATTTATATAGAGATCAAGCAGGAAGACCGAAATGTCCAGTAGACCCATTCTTTATTGTTCCTGACAAATGTAAATGTGTGGATTTCCAAGTGTTGAAACTGCAAGAAACACCAGAATCTGTCCCCAATGGAGAGATGCCAAGACACATGCAACTTTACTGTGATAGGTTAGACAACTTCTATTCATATTCATAACCTTTGCTCTTTTACCACATACTAACCAAATGATTTAAACTATATTTAACTGTAGATATACATTTACTTATAAGAAACTGTGGCAATGTAATCAGTGTGATAAAGTAAACTGTCATTGGTAGATATTAACATCCATATAATGAAGAATTTTAGTCCACGGAACATGGATCCCTTGTGGCTGAAGGGTTGCCTTTAAGGGTTACGACTTCAGAATTGCAGCAATTGTTTAACCCTGCATAATTGATAGACGTGACTAAATGGTTTGGAATAACTGGTTGCTTTAAGTTTGCAACACCCGAGGTTAGCAAAAATCATCTTTCTGGTTAGGCGCCATATGACCTAAATTCTGTTGGTGATCTGTAAAACAAAATGAAAAAAACCGCACAGCATCTGTAAGTATTTCCCCATTCTCAGCCTTTTGAATTAGTTTTACTGTATTTGAAAGTTGACAATATTTATAAATGTTTAAATCGAGAACATTTCTGAGCTTCAAACTAATAGATGCATATCACAAGGCCTTTCAGCAGGTGTGATCCACCTACCAAAAAGTGATGTACATATGTTATAGTGTTTTGTGTTCATTTCAGGTATATATGTGACAAAGTAGTGCCAGGAAATAGGGTCACTGTGATGGGTATTTTCTCTATCAAAAAGACTGGAAAACCAACAAAGGTTAGTAAATATGTTCATATCTTTTTACAGATTTTGTTTGATTTTAATGTTAAGTAAATGTTTTTTTGCTTGAAATTTGTTTGTTGCATAATAAAAAAAGTTATCAAAATTTATTTGATTTCTTAAGTGTACTGTGATACCTTGTCTGAAGTTTTTTGGATATTTTTGCACAAATTGGTATTTTTAGATTGTTTTGTTTATTATACTAGCAAGGTTCTAGGGACAAAGTAAATGTTGGCATAAGGGCTCCATACTTCAGAGTTTGTGGGGTACAGGTTGACACTGAGGGTCAGGGTCGGACCACAGGGACAACTATAACCCCTGCAGAAGAAGAAGAATTCAGGAGACTTGCAAAGAGCCCAAACATTTTTGAAACAATTGCAAAAAGTATTGCTCCATCAATTTATGGAAGTCTGGACATTAAAAAGGCAATAGCATGCCTTCTGTTTGGAGGCTCAAGGAAAAGGTATAGTTGAAATATGTTTAATTATTCAATATTATCTAGTTTATTACGTTCAGACTTGGATAAACTGCTTGAAAGCTTGTCATAAAAAATTTAGTCTGGTTAACCTTTGTTTAGCTGGACTTAATGGTTTTGACTTGTAGATTTACAGAGAAAACTTAATGTATGTTCTATTTCTTTAGCCAACTCCTGTTTTCTCTGTGTGACTGTGTCATTACAGTCATCTACTTCAAACCACTTTCTCCTTACGGCTGTGGATTTGAATCTTGCCAGCGACTTGGGTTCTTTCATGTAAGGAAAGATATCCAGTGACCTTATGGAATATTGGTGGTTTTACTTGGATACCTTTCGTGCCTGAAATAAGGCATGGAGGGGCACCTCTTAGTCCCAATAAAGCTGGAAAGTACCAATTTGGCCTGTACTGTGTTGGTGCAACTAGAAAACCTACCGAAAAAAAGAGGAGAATTCTTTAACATATTGTTATACTTGATAATTCTGAAAATTCAGATGGTCCAGGTGCATTTAAGAAGGTGGATGTATACAGTTAGATACTAGATTATGTAATCGTTCAAGTGGCTTGTAGGGAATAACGTGAACACTACTTTATATTAACATTCATGTATTCAACTATTTAAGAATGCCCGATGGACTTACAAGAAGAGGGGATGTGAACCTGCTCATGTTAGGTGATCCAGGTACAGCTAAATCACAGCTACTAAAGTTTGTAGAGAGATGTTCACCTATTGCAGTATATACATCTGGTAAAGGTAGCAGTGCTGCTGGTCTCACAGCATCAGTGTCCAGAGATCCTCAAACGGTAATTTTAGAATATTACATATTTCTTATTAATAAATTTGTGAAAAATAAAATCAAAGTAATGATGATACCTTATCGTTTGATTGTTAGAGGGTATTGTACAAACTTATAACAGAGGTGAAAATCTTGAATTGATACATTTTACTTCTAATTCCTAGAAAACTGAACAGTAATTTGCATAATGGTATGTTGCTTCTATTTTCACTATTATTATGTGAACTTTAGTATCAAGTGCAATATTTGAATGATTGCAGAGAAATTTTGTGATGGAAGGCGGAGCTATGGTGTTGGCTGATGGGGGAGTGGTCTGTATTGACGAGTTTGACAAGATGAGAGAGGATGATCGTGTGGCAATTCACGAAGCAATGGAACAGCAAACTATTTCTATAGCTAAGGTAAACGAGGAATGGGGGAAACAAATTTCATCATTAAAGTTCATGACATTAATTGATGTATGTTCTTGACTAGAACTAATTGCATACTGTTGGAAAAATAATTCGATGTCATAACCCATGTGTTGTCTATGGTTAACTGGTTTACTTTTGGTCATTATCTTCAGTACTAACAAAGCTATTTCATTATACCCCCACAAACAAAGTTTAGGGGGGGTATATAGGAGTCAGCTTGTCGGTCGGTCCGTCGGTAGGTCCACATCATGGTTTCCGGACGATAACTAGAGTTTGGAATGAGGTATTGTAATCAAACTTGGTATATAGCAACCTTATGTGGCAACTCCGGTTGGTATTGCATTTGGACCCCCTGGGGTCAAGGTCAAGGTCACTGTTAATAAAAATAGAAAAATGGTTTCCGGACAATAACTAGAGTTAGGAATGAGATATTGTTAACAAACTTGGTGTATAGCAAGCTTATATGAAGACCTGGGTTGGTATTGCATTTGGACCCTCTGGGGTCAAGGTCACCGTTACTAAAAATAGAAAAATGGTTTCCGGACAATAACTAGAGTTAGGAATGAGATATTGTTATCAAACTTGGTGTATAGCAAGCTTATATGAAGACCTGGGTTGGTATTGCATTTGGACCCCTGGGGTCAAGGTCACTGTTACTAAAAATAGAAAAATGGTTTCCGGACAATAACTAGAGTTAGGAATGAGATATGGGTTATCAAACTTGGTGTATAGCAAGCTTATATGAAGACCTGGGTTGGTATTGCATTTGGACCCCCTGGGGTCAAGGTCAAGGTCACCGTTACTAAAAATAGAAAAATGTTTTCCGGACAATAACTAGAGTTAGGAATGAGATATTGTTATCAAACTTGGTGTATAGCAAGCTTATATGAAGACCTGGGTTGGTATTGCATTTGGACCCCCTGGGGTCAAGGTCAAGGTCACCATTACTAAAAATAGAAAAATGGTTTCCGAACAATAAGTACAGTTAAGGAAATGAGATATTGTTATCAAAACTTGGTGTTATAACAAGCTTATATGAAGACCTGGGTTTGGTATTGCATTTGGACTCCTTGGGGTCAAGGTCAAGGTCACCGATACTAAAAATAGAAAAATGGTTTTTGGACAATAACTTGAGTTAGGAATGAGATATTGTAATCAAACTTGGTGTATAGCAAGCTTATATGAAGACCTGGGTTGGTATTGCATTTGGACCCCTTAGGGTCAAGGTCACCGTTACAGTGTTACTAAAAATAGAAAAATGGTTTCTGGACAATAACTAGAGTTAGGAATGAGATATTGTTATCAAACTTTGTGAAAAGCAAGCTTATTTGGAGACCCCAGTTGGGATTACAATTAATTGAAATATTTCTTTGTACACAGTTGATAGTTTGTGTTCAAATTTTTCTTCAGACTACTTATTTTTCAAAAAGTCACAGTTGCTGGTGGGGGTATTAATCACCTTCAGTGATAGGTCTAGTTGAAATTTATTGTATTGATGCACCATGGGAAGGTGTTTGAGACTAGCTCATTTTCAAGTTTATGGTCATCACTGCTACATTTAATTGTTGTATTTAATCAGAATGAAGTGTGCTATCCAGCACTGAGAAGGTGTAGTCTGCAAAACAGCCCTTGAACAGCTCCTGTTACATGATATTTTGTTTTATCTAGGCTGGTATAACAACAACATTAAACTCGAGATGTTCAGTACTAGCTGCAGCTAACAGTGTGTACGGGAGATGGGATGATACAAAAGGAGAGGAGAACATTGACTTCATGCCAACTATTCTCTCAAGATTTGACATGATCTTTATTGTCAAAGATGAGCATGATGAATCTAGGGATACTGTAAGTGGTCGGCATTTTCTTTACACACATTTACATTGGTGATCAATGTGTCTTAAGAACATAAAATTGTATTCTGTATAACTATGATATCTCGTTACCCTTGTATGAATTTTTAGTTGCATTTCAACAGGTACTTTAGATATTTTAATATATTGAATTTTGTTTTTAAATTTTGCATACAACTTGTAATTAGTGGAATATATGGAGAAAAACTTTTAATGAAAAAGGTTGCAAATTCTATACATTTGCTACAATCAGTTACAGATATTTGAAAGGCAATGTGATCATATAAATATTTGTAAGCTGATGAAGTCTTAAATAGGCAAAGGTTATAATGCAAATGTTTTATACAAGACCATATAACCTGTTGAATGTCTTAATAACCAATTTATAATAATGCACAAGTCATTTCATTGAAACAGAAAATACAATTATATAAATTTGGTGTGCATTTCAAGAATGTTAACACTAAAATTTTCCAATAAAAATCAGTTGGTTCATCAAAATGAGCTGTTTGCTTTTTCGCCAATCTCTGGCTTTGTGATATAAAAGAATCCGGGTCATTGTCAGTGTTGAACTTGTCCCAGAAATGTTAAAAAGTTTTCCACAACTTGTCGAACAAATTTATGTCTTATTCATGTCATTGTGGCATTATGTTTTATGAAATTTTATTGGTTGATGTTAACATTTCATGCCATTTGTTACAGAGACTAGCAAAGCATGTGATGAACGTACATCTTAACGCACTACAAATGACTGAAGAACCAGCAGAAGGTGAGATCGATCTGATGACACTGAAGAAATACATCAATTATGCTAGAAAGTAAGTTATTATAATTCAAACTTTCCTATAACTTTAGTTAGAAAGTATTTTCATGGTTGAAGCATATTAAAAGTAAATATATGATGATTGATGAAGTATTAGCATATCTTTCCCATACACTGTTTTTCATAGAGTGCTCTGTCTTATGATAAACATTTGCTGGTGCGAAACTTAGTTGTAGCATTCAGTTTTTATTCTTCAATAGCCATTTGGCTTGATAAAGGTATGTGCCTAAACCGTGTACATGAAACATGTTAAAGTTAGCAAATGTATTTTGACTTCAACATTATACCCAACAGAAGACAAAAAGTAAGTTCTATCATCATGTTTGTAATTTTACAGGAGATGTGGCCCTCGTTTATCACCAGAGGCTGCTGAAAAACTGAAGAATCGTTACGTTTTAATGAGGAACAGTGCTGGCGAATATGAAAGAGAAACCGGCAAGAAAGTCAGCATACCTATCACAGTCAGGTATGTTGTTACTTTGGCCTTGATTTTAATCTTCCCGATATTTGAATTACTTTAGACTACATAGCTTATAACAGCAGTGATAAATACTGTGCTGTAGCTGTTCTAAGTTACCTTGTTGTTCATGTGAATTTTAGTCCTTTGGGATTGTAAAACAGATAAAGGTTGAATACTGCTTAAGCAAGGTGTGCCATGCACGAGAGATGTTGCCATTGTCTGTTATGAGCTGGCACTATTGAATTGAGTCTGCAATTTTTGCAGATTTACTTTTATTCTATTCTTTATTCCTCATTACATATTATTTAATTCATTCATATTTCTGTTCATGCTGAGCCTCCAACTTGTAATCAAATGTATAATTATGAAATTTATACTCACAGACAACTTGAGGCTATAATACGTATTAGTGAATCTCTTGCCAAGATGAAGTTGCAACCATTTGCTACAGAGCTAGATGTAGATGAAGCATTAAGACTGTTCCAGGTGTCAACACTTGATGCTGCCATGTCGGGTAACCTTGCAGGTACGTCATCATCTCAATTATTTCAGAATTGTAACAAATCTTAATTTAGATATTCGTCTGAGTGATTACAGTGTCTTTATACAGGTTTATTTTCCTTCTATATCATGGACAGTTAAAGGGCCGCTTTCCATCGGGGAAATTTCATTAAATTTTCCCATAAAATCAGTTAAGAGAAAGTTAACTTATCCTTTTGCAGAAATAATTTAAGTGAAGGGTTTAAAAAAAGCCCTGTCAAAGAGCTTTGAGAATAAATCATTTTGTCTGTTAAAGAGGCAACAGTATTTGTGGGTGTGACTAATCAGTGATGTAAAACTGTCTGACCCTGAACTATAAATAACATGCAGTGTTAACCTGCAGAGAGAATGTAAACAAAAACAGCTGATTTTACACAGGAGAGGTTTAATGGATGTTTTAAAAGACATTATCAAGTCATCTTGTCCAGAGTCAGTTGTTTTTCTTTTCTTTTTTTCACTGGAATGCTGTATGTGTCTTTCATCAAGTCAGACATTTATATCAAAATCCAAAAGATGTGCCTTACATGGGGCATTTCTTTTAGGAACAACCTGCTAAAAATGTTCTTGACAGGAATTTAAAATATTTTTAAACTGTTAATGTATAAAAAATTTATGCATATGCAACATTTAGTTTGATTAACATTTGTGAAATGTAATTTTTGACTACAAGATATTTACAACAAAATATAGTGTAAATGAAATATACCTGGAATTTACTTTTACTGTTTTCATGAAGTTTAAACCATTCAAATACAAGTTAAATCAGTACTTTGAAATTTAAAAAAAAAATCATAGATTAATGGATTATTGTAAATTTGTTGGATTTGATAAAGCAAGTCAGTAAAAGTTATTGTTTTTTTCAGCATTCCAATGTGTCGTCTGCTGAAAATCTCCCTCCCTGAAATATACATTGTCTGCTACAAATCTCTCCCTGAAATAAACACTGCCACGTGCTTCTGTTTACTACTGAAGGTTCATGACCTGTAATGATCACATGGCTCCTCCCAGGGAAATTCAAATTTCAAATTTGACAGCCAGTATTTTTTTCCAGAAATACACTTAACAAAGTTATATTTTCAATCTTTATCAAAAATATCTATGCCTACAAACATGCCAAGTGTAGTTTTAATGCATTTGGTAATTAATCTTAAATCTTTGAAAAAGGGTCCCTGAAGTGAAGCATGCATAAAATTAATAAGAAACCTGCCCTAGCGCCATCTGCTGGCTTTTATAGTCCAGTTAGGCCTTTAAGATCAATAAAAAAAATTATAATGGCCTTGAATATATTTTTTTCTAGATTTTGATTAAAATCTTTGTATTTCAAATTTATAAAGTTGTAGAGATAAGTGGAAATTATTTTTTAGGTGTAGAAGGTTTCACTACAGAAGAAGACCAGGATTTGTTGGGACGTATTGAGAAACAGTTGAAAAGAAGATTTGTGATAGGATCACAGGTCTCTGAACATGCCATCCTACAAGATTTCCTCAAACAGGTAAATACAGTATAATTTAAGGTTTATGTCTCTGAAACATCAGGTGGGTAAGGAACATTGTAAAGCATGTATGAAATTAATCCATTTATAAAGGATTCCTAAAATGAAGCTTTAGTATTTGATTTAGTTATTTTTAGTTTTTCTATTTAAAAAAAGGCGGGGGAAAGCTATTGTACTCGCCCTGTTAAAGTTTATGGGTGTAAACTTGTTTCTCCTTAACTACTGAAGGGAATAGGTTGAAACTTGCAAACCTTTTTGAGATATAAGTCACTGTCCAAAGCCCCTTAACTCAAAATGGATTTTGACAGAATGATTTAATTTGTAATAATTTATCTCAATTATTGAGTAACAGAAATTTGTCATGTACTTCTGGTTCAGTAATTATTTGGGATTAGTAGTCGGTATCTTGCAGAGAATTTAGTAATTCAAGGAAAGCTGACTGCCGAGATACAGTTTGCTTTTAAAATTAACCAACCTTACTTCTTACCTATTTAGAAATATCCGGAGCGGGCTATACAGAAAGTGATACATTTCATGTTAAGACGAGGAGAGCTGCAGCACAGGATGCAGAGAAAAATGCTCTACAGGATGAAGTAAAACTTCCCACATGATAGCAACATGGTCTTCCTAACTTTGTGTTACCTTGACAATGTCATACAGTCAAATTTGCAGGATAGAATACAACGAGAAATAATTGTATTTAATGATAGATAAACTATTATTCAGTTTAAAAATTCTGTTGAAGAAATAGTTAATGTGTAAGAAGAAAATTTATACATTAAGATTTCAGGATTTCTTGATAGGACATTTTGTTATGATTTAACTTGTTTGTCCTACTTTCATAACAATTGAATGATCATTAACCAGGTTTTCCGAAGGAAAAAACTGGTTATTAGATTGAGGTATGTCGGCGGGCGGGCGTATACAATTTCTTCTGTGCGCAACTCCTACATTTCTCAATGGATTTTGAACAAACTTTCACAGAAGCTTTGTCATCAAGTGCCCTGGCGCATATTGTCGGGGTTTTGCGATTAGATAATATTTGACCTAATTATGGCCCTTTGTTTTTTTTCCTTATATAAAATATATAGTGAACAATTTCTTCTGTGCGCAACTCCTCCTACATTTCTCAACGGATTTTGACCAAACTTTCTCAGAAGCTTTGTCATCAAGTGCCCTGACACATATTGCCAGGGTTTTGCAATTGGTATATATTTGACCTAATTATGGCCTTTTTTATTTTTTCCCTATATAGAATATATAGTGAACAATTTCTTCTGTGCGCAACTCCTCCTACATTTCTCAACGGATTTTGACCAAACTTTCTTAGAAGCTTTGTTATCAAGTGCCTGGCACATATTGTCGGGGTTTTGTGATTGGATAATATTTGACTGAATTATGGCCCTTTGTATATTTTTTCCTTATACAGAATATATAGAGAACAATTTCTTCTGTGCTCAACTCCTCCTACATTTCTCAACGGATTTTGACCAAACTTTCTTAGAAGCACATATTGTCGGGGTTTTGTGATTGGATAATATTTGACCGAATTATGGCCCTTTGTATATTTTTTCCTTATACAGAATATATAGTGAACAATTTCTACAGTGCGCAACTTCTCCTACATTTCTCAATGGATTTTGACCAAACTTTCACAGAAGCTTTGTCATCAAGTGCCCTGGCGCTCACTAAATTCCCATGTTTCTTCCAAGACATCATTCAAGTATTTTTTTTAAATTGTGAACATACTTTTCTTGATATCGCACAAAACACCACACGCCAATATTGTTGACAAAAGAAAATGACGAGAGACGCAAAAATGTAAAAATTAAGCAAAAATAAAGTACTGTTTACCTTTCTAAAACATTTGGGAAAAAAAGGCGAATAGACAACATAAAATTTCTCAATCATTTTTGTTTGAGGAATATTAAAAAAGCCATAATTCCTCCTAAAAGTTCAATTAAAAACAAATGCCCCTTCATGACAAAGCTTCTGTGAAATATTTTGCTGAAAACCTGGTTGCATCGCATTGCGATGTTCCTTGTTAATTACCTTTGTTTGAAAAAAAAAAAAAAGAAATTACAAAACCAAATTATACCATCTTAAAATCAAAAGTTATGACCTAGGTATAGGTTTCTGTTGTTTTGCTTATGTCTGTGTCAATATATTGTCATTGCTACTTGAATCTTTCAAAAAAGAATAGAAAAAGACATAAACAATTTTAAACCCGACAGTATATTGTTCGGATTAAAATGTCATTTTCACCAGTGTTTGTGTTCATTAAAAAAAAATGTATCTCATAATTTTTATGATTTTTTTTTGTGTAAGTGCTATAAACTGCCCATTATAAAGATATTTTTTGTAAATAGATGTTCAGGCCTATTATTCAAGAGGGTTCATCAGGTTTTTTGATACCACACTTGTGTTCAATGTACAAAAACTGTGTTCAGATGTACTGTATATAATGTGTTCAAAATCATGTTTCAATTATGCATGTGTTCAAAATTTTTACTAAAATAATCTCAAGTTTACAATTTTTGAACAAGTCTTTATTTTTGAAATGTATTTAAATTACTTCCATATTACCTACCGCCTATGCATTTATAAATTTATTCAAAAAAAAAATGAAAGCTAATAAATATGAAAATCAAGTTGTTGTTGTTTTTTTTATAACATGAAGAAAGGTGGGTTTATTGTTTTGCCAGTGTTGGTCGGATTGTCTGGTGTCCATCTGTAGACCACATGATTTCTGCTGATTATCTTAAAAACTAATTATCACATTGTCTTCAAATTCACATACTGATTGGTCATAACTAGTAGATGACCCCTATTGATTTTGGGATAACTAGTTCAAAGGTCAAGGTCACAGATGCCTTGAATGTCGAAATGGTTTCCTTATTTATCACAGTCTTTATATTTCTCATAACTTGTAGATGACCCCTATTGATTCTGGGGTCTTTAGGTCACAGTGTCCTTAAATATCGGATTGATTTCCGCTCATCTTTAAAACTATCGCAAAGTCTTTATATTACACATTGATTAGCCATATGTTGTATTTATTCTGGGGTCATAGGGGCCTATATCAGAATGGTTTTCGTTCAATATCTTGAAAACTGTTCACAGTCTTCATATTTCACATACTGATTGGTCATAACTAGTAGATGACTCCAGTCACTAGGTCAAAAATCAGAGGCCTTAAATGTCGGAATTGTTTCCGCTCATTATCTTGGAAACTATCGCAGTCTTTGTATAACACAAGTCATATTGAATGGTTAAAACTAGTAGACCTCAATCGATTTTTGGGTCTTTAGGTCACGGGGACCTTAAATCTGTTTGTCCGTCGGTAGACCAAATGGTTCACGCTGATTATTAGCTCACCTGTGACAGTGTGAGCTTTTGTGATCGCTTTTCGTCCGTCCGTCGTCCGTAAACTTTTACTTTAAATGACATCTCCTCATAAACCACTAAGCCAATTTCATCCAAACTTCACAGGAATGTTCGTTTGGTGGTCACCTTTGAAAATTGTTCAAAGAATTTAATTCCATGCAGAACTCTTGTTGCCATGGCAACCAAAAGAAAAAACTTTAAATATCTTCATCTAAAAGAGCTAGAGCTTAGATATTTGGCATGAAACATCTTATAGTGAGTGTCTACCAAGTTTGTTCAAATAAAAGCCCTGGGGTCAAAATTGGCCCCGCCCCAAGGGGTCATTGATTTTCCCTATATGCATATAGTAAAAACTTAAAAAATCTTCTTTTAAAGAACCCAAAGAGCTAAGATATATAGCATGAAACATGTTCTAATAGATGCCTACCAAGTTTGTTCAAATAAGAGCCCTAGGGTCAAAATTGGCCCTGCCCCAGGGGTCATTGATTTTCCTTATACATGTATTTGTATAGCAAAAACTTTAAAAAATCTTTTTTGAAAAAAAAACCAAATAGCTAGAGTTTAGATACTAAGCATGAAACATCTTCTAGTGAGTGTCTACCAAGTTTGTTGAAATAAAAGCCCTGGGGTGAAAATTGGATCCGCCCCGGGGGTCATTCATTTTCCTTGTATGTGTATAACAAAAACTTAAAAATCTTCTTTGAAAAAACTAAAATAGCTAGAGTTTAGATATTGAGCACGAAGCATCTTCTAGTGAGTGTCTACAAAGTTTGTTCAAATAAAAGCCCTGGGGTCAAAATTGGCCGGCCCCAGGGGACATTGATTTTCCTTATATGTGTATAGCAAACTCTTAAAAATCTTCTTTGAAAAAACCCGAATAGCTAGAGTTTAGATATTAAGCATGAGACTATTTATAGTAAGTGTCTACAAAGATTGTTTAAATAAAAGCCCTGGGGTCAAAACTGGCCCTGCGCCAGGTATGTCATTGTTTTTAACTATATGTGTAAAGAAAAAACTTGAAAAAATCTTCTTTTAAAAAACCCAACGAGCTAGACCTTGGATGTTTAGCATGAAACATCTTCTAATGGGTGTCTACCAAGTTTGTTCAAATAAAACTCCTGGGGTTTAAACTGGTCCCGCTCCGGGGGCCTATATACAGGTGAGCGTCTTCAGGGCCATCATGGCCCTCTTGTCTTAAAAACTATCACAGCCGTGTATTTCACATACTGGATGACGCCGATTTGATTTTGAGGTCACGGGCCTTAAATGTCATTGTTTCACTATCACAATAACTTGAGGTTTATAGGTACACACATTTTTGTCCGGACTGTAACTTTGTCATGCATCGAAGGATTTAAGAATAACTTGGCACAAATGTCAACCACATCAAGACGATGCTCATGTCCGTCCGTGCGTCCCCACTTGCACAACAATCATGTCCAGACTGTAACTTTGTCAAGCATTGAGGGATTTTGAAATATAAGTCGAACACGATAACGTTTATATTAATCGGTCGTACCATTATGATATAATAGGTTGTTCAAGTCCTTCAATTATTAATTTTGCATTTTTATTGCAATATAGAAGAATGAAAGTGGGGAAAACACGTAAAGCCGAGTAGGGTAGTGTTTAGAGTTTTCAGATTAATTATGAACATGATTTTTAGAGTTCAAATCTGCAATTGTGCACATTTCTTGAATATGTTTTTTTCCAGTTAACATTTAATAGTGTGTCACGTAACTTTTCATTTTCTGTTTTATAATGTTTTGCACAATATAAAGTTAAACTTATGACGATAAAGCAAAATCGGATAAATTTGATTTTTAACTCATTGAACAGATTAAATAGAATAATTATCAGTTTTATTCCGTATGAAACTCTGAATTCTATTCGCCACATTTTAACAATTTTGGCTCATTTGTATATATTAGTCTTCCATTGCTCAGTTATCACCCTAATCACGTTGTCTTATACTTAACTTGTTGAATTCGAATGTCTGTATAAGTAAATGTTCTCAAATAGCATTGTGCTAAAATCCAGTTCTTTTGTAAAAAAAAAAAAAAAAAAAAAAAAAAAAAAAAAAAAAAAAAGAAAAGAAAAAATAAACTTACCTGGATTCGAACCAGGGTCTCCACACTCACAGATCGAACACTCTATCACTACGCTATAATGCTAAACGCATAAAAATGAGTGACTGATAAGGTGATTAAAAATTTAGGCGATAAGTAGTATTATTTTATATAAGAATTTTATCGACACCCCTATTTGTCAATATTGATGTAAACAGATAATGAAAGGAATGGCGAACTACAAATGTCTATCACATGACAACGATGTGTCGCGTTCAAGAACCACGTTCCTTCTTCAAAGGTCAAGGTCACACTCGTATTTTGATCGTTCACGTTATCACAATCAGACATTATAGGTACACACATCCGTGTCCGGACCATGCATTGAAGAGTTTTAAAATAACTTGGCACAAATGTCTACTAGTCCACATCAAGATGACGTGTTTTGTGTAAGACACATATTCCTGCTTCCAATGTCACAGTAATGTAGTTTGAAGGTACTTATGCTCATAAGAAGAGTTTGAAGGTACACATTGGTTCCCAAAGTGTTACATTATCATGCATTGAAGGATTTTAAAATAACTTGGCATAAATGTCTACCACATCAGTATGATGTGTCACATCATAATACCTGCATGCTTAAGAAACCTTTTCGGGGGTCATTCGTAACTTGCTTGACAGCTATTGTTTTTTCTTAACAGCGCCTTTTCATACTCCCTATTATGTTTCTGATCGTTCTAACGAGTATAGCTATAGCTGCCCATTCTTGGGCCAACATGGCTCCAAGCCCCTGGATGGTTCTGGGTTGCAGTTGACGAGCTGAAATCTAACCTGCAGCTCATTCCACAATGTTCTATGTAAGGTGAGCGAGCTGGCCAGTCAATGTGCTCAATAGACTTCCTCTCTAGGCAGTCCTGGCCCTATGGGGACGAGCATTATCGTCCATTAGAATGAACTGATCGCCAACTGCTCAAGCACACAACCTAACCTGGTTGTCTAAGATGTCGTCTATGTATCGCTGACCTGTCAATGTGCGTCTATTTAGCACAACCAGGTTGGTTGGTCCACCCCAGCTGATGCCTCCCCACACCATATCTGACCCACCTCCGTAGCGGTCATGCTGAGCAATATTTGCAGCCTAAAACCGTTCACCACGTCTTGTTATGCACGCCTAAGTCTAGGCAGAACCTGGACTTGTCAGTGAACAGAAAGTGTCTCCAGAGTTGCATGGTCCACCGTGTATGTTCCATGGTCCATTCCAAACGGGCCTGGTGATGTCGACGCGTCAATGGGGATACGTATGCAAGTTTTTCTCGACCGCAAATTACCCGTATGCAGCCTTCTACGTACCGTCTGCGTAGAAACACAGGTCCCCGCAGCATTAGCAAGGTCGTTACGAAGAGAAGTTGCTGTCGAAAACTTTGTACGACGTGCCTGAACGACCAAAAACCGATCCTGAGCTGGTGTTGTGACCCTTTGCCGACCTCCAGAATGCCTCTTGGCGGGTGTACCATGTAGCCGGTATCTATTCCAGGCTCTGGTGATGACGGTGTGGTGTACACCAAGTGCCGCACCAACCTGGTGGAAGGTGGCCCCCTTCTGCACCATCCCTACTGCACTCCATAATTCTTCTCTCCCTAGAAGAGTTGTAATGGATTCATGTCAGGGGTACTATGTCAAAACATTGTGATAAGAATTTCAAAAATTGGAAAGAAATCTGTTTTATGCTTGTGATAATAAAGAAATTAACTTATGGTGTCCCAGTGCTTATGAGTAGTATATTTTAAGCCAAGGTCATATGATTGACTCGGGCCTAATCTTAAGAAACTTAATTTGGATGAAAATGAAAGCCCCTAAAAAGTTAACATATGAAAGTTGAAAACTGAGTCTGCGATTTTAGTCATTCGGAATTCGTCGCTAATTATTCATATTTATTTTGGAAATTATACAGACTTGCTAGTTCTACCTCGTAACTTGATGTAACTATAGAAAGTAAGTAGCAATGTATGTTTTTTAAACTCTTGAGACACTAGTATTAAGGAAGAATAATACGAAATATGTCGGACTGTCCGAATAGATTTAAGAATTCCCTTTGGCACAACAATCGTATCAGAAATAATCGTGTCCAGGTCATCTTACTTTGGTTAAATAATACAAATAGAATCGCATAATACAATAAAATAAACGGTGTCAACAAATCCCAGCAAATTAGCAGAGAGTCGAGAAGCGATTGCATTTGGAAATGAAGAAACGTGCATCATCTCTCGCACCCTAAACACCGAATAAGCAGTATTCAGAAAAAAATATTTCACAAACATTGTGTACATTATTTGGTGTCAAAATATTTGTTTGCGAATTCGGTTTATGACAAATTCAATCCTTAAGACAGTCACGGCGTTCCATAGTCTTCCATATTTATGGGCGGGGTTGCATATTGAGAATGTCGCTCTCGGCGGTCCCTCCTTTGTGTTTTATAGCTTACACGCTAATGTTTGCCAACATGTTCATTGTTGCGGCAGCCTCCGTGTCCTTCGGTCTAAAATATTGTCTGCTTCATTTAAGAATTCGCTCATTTTAACAATTTGACTTTCAGCAATTTCGAAAGCCAGTAAAATTTTTTTTAGCATAGTCAAGTTAATGTTCCCTACATGTTGAACATTTTTTATTTAGTTGTGTGCTCTGCATGATTAAAATATTTCATTGAAATACCTGCCCTTCCGATGATGTGGTATATAGTGAATGTTTTTTAAAAGTTGGTCTGTTATTTAACATTTCTTTTCAATTCGATTACCAGAGAACCACTTTACCTTAACAGGATGATCGCATGCATTCCAATTTTTTTACTTAGGTGATTAAATCTGAATGTCAACTTAACCGCTCGGAAGAGGATCGTGTCATTTACAGCTTTCAAATTTCATAGGTTAAAACGACATGCTGGATGAGACCTTTCCTATTTACATGTTTAAGTGACATAAGTCAAAGGTCGTCGTTACTTTGAATTATACAATGAAATGAAATAAAATGTTATACACTGAAATAAAAGCAAAATTCGTGAATGGTATGATATGATGACTGCGATAGGTATTAATACAATCATTTAACGACACAATTATTCTTATACTTGTTTGGACACTAAAACAGATGATGAAACTTGGAAATTCGGAAAATGTTTGTTTCGGCATTAAAGGAAAGAGCGCGAATGAAACCAAACTATAGGGAAATGCGTAGGAGTTTGATGTAGATGATCTCGACATAGGCTCTTCTTTGAAAATCTCCAACACCTCTTAATTGGCATTGCGCTTTGATTCATTTTTAGCTCACCTGTCCCAAAGTGACATGGCGAGATTTTGTGATCGCAATTTGTCCGTTGTTGTCCGTAAACTTTCACTTTGAATGACATCTCTTCATAAACTGCGAAGCCAGTTTCATCCGAAATTTACAGCAATGTTCCTTAATTGGATGGTCATTTTTGAAATTTGTTGAAAGAATTGAATTCCATGCAGAACTCTGGTTGCCAACTTACAAAATCTCCTTTTTAAAAAAGAGCTCGAGCTTAGATATTTAATTAGCATGAAACATCTTCTAGTGGCTGTTCCAAGTTTGTTCAAATAAAAGCCCTTGGTCAAAATTGGCCCCACCCTAGGGGGTAATTGATTTTCCGTATATGTATGTAGTAAAAACTTTAAAACATCTTCTATAATCATTATACCCCCGCACAACAAAGTTGTGCGGGGGGTATACTGGAATCAGCTTGTCCGTCCGGACGTCTCCCCGTCCGGCCGTCCGTCGGTTTTTCCTTGTCCGCCCAATAACTTGAGTTTCCTTTCGCCAACAGTCTTCATATTTGGCACGGAGGTTAGTCATGATTAGAAGATGACCCGTATTGATTTTGAGATCACTGGGTCAAGGTCACATGGGCTTTGACTTAAAAAAGCTTGTCCGCCCAATAACTTGAGATTCCTTTGACCCACAGTCTTCATATTTAGCATGGAGGTTAGTCATGATTAGTAGATGACTCCTAGTGATTTTGAGGTCACTTGGTCAAAGGTCAAGGTCACAAGGGCCTTGACTAAAAAAAGCTTGTCCGCCCAATAACTTGAGCTTCCTTTGACCCACAGTCTTCATATTTGGCATGGAGGTTAGTCATGATTAGTAGATGACCCCTATTGATTTTGAGGTCACCGGGTCTAAGATCAAGGTCACAGCTAGGGCCTTGACTTAAAAAGCTTTTCCGCTCAATTGATTAAGAATGCTTTGGTCAGCAGTCTTCATATTTGGTATTGAGGTTGTTTATGACTAGTAGATAATCCCTGTGTCAAAGGTCAAGGTCACAGGGATTTTTACTATAATAAGCTTGTCTGCTGAAATGCTTAAGATTACCTGTCCGCAGTGTATTGATTTTGACATTTTCACATTTGAAGCATGGAGAATACATAACATAGAAATGCACTGGCTTAGTAACCTCAGAATTGGCAGGAGGTTGTCCTCGAGCTCTAAATGGCCACTGTTGATTCTGACAAAGTGGTATGCGGGGGTATTCACGCCATGACAGTGGCAGTTCTAGTTTTTATTTATTTTGTTAAAACTATTGTTAAATGTTCCAAAAATCAGTTAAGACTTTAGTAAATAAATATAATTTTTGGAAAAAGAGAGTCGACGTCACATAGTTACAGTTCTCCTAGTTTAGCCGAGAGTAAAACGTGGTAATGTTATAAAGCAAATAACTATAGGATATAAGCATTTATTTACACTAAGCTACTGATTAAAGGTGGTATAATTAGTTTAATCATACTTTGATCTTTAATCCAGTTAGAAAAGTTAAAAGGATTATTTGGAGATTAAAATATAAAAAAGTAGCACGATCATAACAAATCATCTAAAATAAAGTTGACAAACATTGTATATGTGGCTGATTGTTATTTCATGTTTATTCTAATCTTTTATATTGACCTATTAAAATAACGACTTTCCATTAATCAAATATTTGAGTAGGACAGTTTTGTTACTGTAGGGTATTCGTTATTAATCCACCTTTTTATTGGTGAATTGTTCAAACAAAAAGCAACATAATAAATCGTCGAGAAGCAGGTGGAAATCAATCGTATAATCAATATGCTGTGATATTTTGCGAGAGGGTAACTTTCATATCGCTATTTATGGAATAATGGTACGTTCAATTATGAGTATTTACTTTTGTTTTATTTTTTTTGCTTTTCAACTTTCAAGGGTTATGTTTTGAACTAGCATATTTTGAAGTTTTATTTCTAGCCTTTTTTCTGTATGTGTTTCATTGCTCATGTTTTTTAGAATAAGGATAAAATAAAACTAGATATTCTATAATAACTCAACCATTGGGTATGTACACATTTTTCATTTTTTACCTGTTATACTGTAAAAAGAAACTTACTACATTGTTGAAACATGTTAAATTCGGATACTTGATTATTATACATAAATGATATTCGTGGATCATTTGCGCCATTTATTTATTTATTTATTTGCAATTCGCAACAACACTTAGCCGTATCAGTGTCCAAGACCGCGTTTAGCAGATCAAATATTCACATTTTCAATCTTAAGTTAGAATATTCATTGGTCGAAATAACTTTTCCCGCTTAATATATTTGTACACTGTTGTATACTCACCAGTTCATGTAATTATATTTTTATTTACTTTTACATTGCTTTTATCTCTTTTTTTTGTATTATAAATAAAGAACTCGGATTGAAATGAAATTAACATTGAACATGTATGAAAAAGCTATAGATATGTATATCTAATAATCTAAAAGTAAATTAATTACATTTATATAATTATTGAATGTATGTACATACTTTTCTCATTATGTGCTTATTACATCCGCCAAATATGGCTAAGTTTTAGGCTTATAGCCAATAAAAAATCTGAATATTGAAAATAATGTTTATTAATCTGACCGAATGCTAATCATGTAAATATTATCTGACCTAATGTTAAATATATTGCACTTAATTATGTGTTTTTATACAGTAAAGAAATAATTTCAATATTTCTAATTATAATTAATAACTTTATGGGCATTTATTATTAAATTTAATTAGTTAAAACTCGTTTATATGTAAATATGTGTATTTAAGAACTATAATTAGAATGTTTTCCCGCCTAATAACTGTTCATGTTACACGAAGATCGTTCCATACAAATAGCTTATGTGATTTGTGGAGATTATTTCATTTTAAGCAGTTAAACATTTTTTCTGTTTTTTTTTCAAGGATGTGAGGGAGCTTACTGAGGAACAAAAGAGAGGTAGGTGTGTTTCTAATAAATTACCGGTAATTCTTGTTTTGAAGTGATTTTAATTGTGTAGGCATAGTGCGGAAATAATATTCAAGTTATAATCAAGTGCTAATGGTTAAACAGTGTCATCCCGTTAATGTATCATCACAAGATGTTTGTAATGATCTTTTCTGTTCTGAAAGTTTACAATAGCACTGTTAATTTATTGTTAATTCATATGTAAATGAATCAGAAAATAAATGCCACAAAGTGAATGTTACCATCATCCATATTTTTTACATAGTTATATTTACATCGCGAGTAACCTATTCATAGCAATGCTGTTTCACTCCAAAGGCTTCTTCAAAAATTTGAAGAACATTATTCTTTGTTTCATTTAAAAAAAAAACCGGCAACTATGACTCTGCTATGCAAAAGGAACTCTTGTATGGTACTGACAGTTTAATCTCTGTTTATCAGAAATCAAGTCTGTGTATGACTCACAGGTGAAAAATGGTTGTCCAGGGCTCTCTCAGAAACAGACAAGAAGTGCTTTACTGAGACTTGGAATCAAACCGGCATCTTTTGACATAGAAAAATTCTGGTTCGATTTGGACAAAACAGGTAAGTTTAATATAATTATAGAATAATAAAATCTAAAACGTCTGACTTTGCACTGTGATTAGAATTTCTTTTAGATAGAATATAAATTTATGATTATAGTATTTAATACTGAATTAGTCTCATCACAATACAAGTATTCTCGGGTGCTTATATATGTAGTTATATATCACATATATAGCTCGTTAGGGTCTTATGATTCTTCCAAATGAGGACGCTTTCCAGCTACATTACGGAATGTCGTTTGCTCTACTCGGTTCCTGCTCGTACCTCTGAAATAATGCACGGAAGGGTATCTTCCACCAGTAAAGCTTGAAATTCGCCGAAGGTTTCATGTTATTTCTGTTTATTAATAATTTCCTCAGCCATATCAAAGTCCAGTTAGTCTAGTGTGATTTTATACCTTCTTATGAACCAAAAGCAGCCACGTTATACATATAGTTCTACATAATTATGATGTAAATGCTCTGTCCCTGTTTGTAATGTTTCTATATAGGCGTCCTTGACCTTGTAAGTTTTTACAAATGAGGTAATACTAACATGTTTCAGAGGATAATTATCTGACATTAGAAGAGTTTGAACGATTGCGATGTGAGATCAACTCGGACCCCGAGGTGGTGTTACGATGGGCGTTCAACAAGTTTGATACAAATAATGACGGGACAATAGACAAGGATGAGCTGAAGTAAGCAGTCAACTTAATGAAATAATATAAAGAAGCAATATTAGCATTAGCATGATTTTAACAACAGTGAGTAAAATGGTACACGTTATGGAAAACATCGCTCAAGTTGCAAAGAGCAATATTACTTTAGTAAAGTCATCATGATATTGGACGCTATTTTGCGTAGGCTATCTGACTTTTACTATGATTGACAATATGGCGTTAAATTATGAATTTGCAAAATCATGCAATGAAATATTTTTTTTATTTGTTTGAGTCGTCAGACCATACAAATTTTAGACCCTGATATGCTTATTTGCAAAATCCACAAGTAGTCCGTCACAAACTCCTCGAAGCGGTTACTTCCCTTTATAAGTACACTAACGACGAAAAATTAAGGGGAGATCACTGCGTAAAGATTGTCTAATGACAGGCGCATCAATTTTCAGACCTTCTCAGGGAAGAAAAAAACAATTCCCGATTGGTCGAAGATTTTTAATATTGTGTAATTCTTTAACATTTCCGCACATTACCGGTAATATATTCAAATGATTTTGTTATCATTTTAATCAATGAAAATTGCTCGGCTATTTCCGTAATGCTTCGGATTAATGTGATAGCCTAAATGAACATTTGTTATTTAGACTTTTTGATAAATAAAATAAGGATGTTGACTCTAGGACAGGGACGAATTTAGGCAGTCGACGATCGATAATCAGTTTCTACCATAAGTACAATGGTCACCGATAATTTAATTCACGTAAACCAAGCGCTATTTTTAGCAACACTTTCGCGCGTATTACACAAAGAGTAGTGAAATATTATATACATGTGAGAAGACTTTTGCTAAATTATTTCACAGATAAACATGTTTGATTGCTTTTGTGAAGCATGTTTGGTGATAAGTTAATTGTTACGGTCTGTAAAATGATGGATTTATTTTTACAAAGGAAGTTGCTGGCAACTGTTTATGACGACTCAGAAGGAGAATGGGTAGATGATGAATTTGTAAATGATTGTTTAGTTCTGGCAGACGGTAACAATGATGGTGTTCTTCAAATTGAAGGTAATAGAATATTTTATTTTTTAAATGTTAGACTTGTCAAATATTAACTACATGGATTTCATTGTTGAATTATAATAAAAAAAGGTTCAGAATTTGGATATAATAACGTAAGCGCTTTATTAAAAATTCCTTTCCTCACCAATATCATTTTTTTCATTGAAATAACTGTATATCTTTTTTTTATGTTACATTTGTTGTTATTTTTGATTAACAGAGAGTTTTTATTTCAGAATTTGTCGACATGTTAATACAAAGGACAACAGGGAAGAACTGATTAAAGCAACATAACATTATTATTGTATTATTTTCATTTGTGTCATGTGCAAATCTTTTAACATATATAAATATTAAAATCTTACAAAGAAACAGTTCTCATATTACACCTTTTTGTCTGTCTTTAAAGGAATAGAAGAACATACCTGACAATATTTTAAAAAATCTTAAAATTCGTATGTTGTTTTTATTTACTTTAAATGTGTCCCCACAATTTTGCTCCACAAAGACCTACACACTTCTGAATTAACTCCTTTCATTAATTAAAATTGACTGCTGTCTTTTAATATTTTTATGAATAGAAGGGTCCATCACGCACGCGCCTTATACATCTTTGTAAGATATCTAATAACAGACCACAAAGTCGTTGTATCTAAATGGTCGTATGGCATCTGGTAGATTTACTGGTGAAATTATCGACCTTCTGCTGACAATTTGAGTAGCTAGCTCCTCGAAATATAACGGAAAATGATGATGGGTTCTACGTCGCTAACCTTTTCTTGCATCTCAGACAGGATTATCTACCGTTTACACCGGTGCTAGAAAACTCTGTCTTACACCCCCATGTAAGACAAGTCGCGTGCTTTAAATGACGTCATTGACGCGCGCCTTTTATGAATGAATCGCGTTCTTAGGATGACGTCATTTTCCGTTATGAATGAAGTTATATGTTCATACGCTACTATAAGAAAGAAGTGCGTAATGAGAATATCAGTTTCCATAATTTCTGTTCTGAAAATAATTGATATGTTATATGCAAGAAAAAAAATCAAACACCGGCAATTGGTAGAGACGGGAATATCTAGCTCTCGGGGAAACTGTTTTGCGGAAACGCGGCATAGCCACGTTACCGCCGTAAACAGTTACCCTCGAGCTAGATATTCCGGTCTGTACCGGCAGCCGGTGTAAGATTCTTAGAAGATATCGAGCAATGTTGACTCAACAAAGAAAATTCTGATGCATACCATATCGCTTATCAAATCAAATACCAAAAATACGTGTCCCCAACATATCTCGTTACATAAATTCAGGTAAAACGATCTGATTATTTTATTCACTGCAGCCTTTTTTGTCATGGCTCCAAATATATTGTGTTCCCAAATTTAAATGAAGTAAAAGTAATGCATTTTATAGCTAAGTTTCCCCTCACTTCACTTCTTATTCTTCTGGTCATTTGCGATCCTTTATTGATTGGAAGACTAAATATTCCTTAACATAAGCAAGCCGATGCTAGGTGGCGTACCAGGTATTTCACTTTATATATCATTTCTCTCATGAACAGACTCTGCAATTCCCAAGTTAAACTATGTTTTCATTGTTCTCTTATAAGAGAGATTTTGCTATCATAGCAAAAATAGCGCGAATGTTAGATATAGCCAAACAATTCATGTTTCAAAACAAGAAAAGTCTATCTTTCAAATGTTGAAATTCGACTTTTGGAAAATATATATGTCGTCAAAGGTCCAAATATAGCTTACAACATGTTTTTCGTCCAATCACCAACAGTCAGGTTTAAAGATAAATCCTTAAAAGGCATTTACTGCCGATAGGAAGCATTTATTTTATCTGACAGTTTTCGATAATGACCATTATTTTCGTAAGCATGTAAATGATAATGTATCAACGGTATGTTTATGAACTTTATACGAAGGTCTTACATTTGAAGAAATTAAAAGTGTATTTTTATTTAATAAATGAATATACATGTACTGCAATCATTTGACTGTGTTACTGTATAATAAAAGCTTGTTATGAAAAGTAATACAAATGTACTTATATGAATATAATTTCATGAAGTTTACGTTATCCTTGCATGTTCATTTCTGAGTCTAAATAATAATTTCTATCAGTTGATGCGGTGAGGTAAACTGAAAGTAGTTCCGCCAATGTACTGCCATACAATCAGCAAACCCGTGTTACATATATAGGACTGTCACCCATTTGAAACGCCCACAATCGGGATTAAAACAGATGGAAAGAGATAGGCAAAATCTGGCCGTCCTGAACGAACGAAACTTTATCCAGTATCAAGCACCACCACCGGAATGACAAACATGTCACCGCAAGGACCTCATAACGAAAGTAGCAAAGGAGAGTAAAGGGGGATTTCAGAAAGGAAACGAATACTTGCAGTACACAGAAATACACAGTAGTTAAGACACCTACGCAATCAGATAGATCAGATCTTTTGATTATTACCATGTAAGTGTCTTTTTCCAAGTTTTTTTTCTACGTTTTTTTCCGTGTTTAAATGGGATTTTAAGTGTTGTGTTTTCCAGTTTCATTTATAATCATCTTCATAAGATCATTAACGCAAAACATTTTTATCACAATACACGCGTAATTTATATATTTCTATTATCTATCAATCTGTTTTAAAGTGTACACAATATTTAATGGAATAAAACTTAAAAAAAGTATTTACAGTGGTGAGGAGATTGTTGATTAACTCTACAACAGTGCTTTCATTTAAAACAAGGAAGAAGTCAGTTTATATTGATAAGGTCCTACCACTATTTGATACAGATCCGTGGATGAATTTATAAATGTAAAGTTCCATGGTATAATATCGGAGCCGATATCCAATAGAAGTAAGTGTTGTTGATTTTTCCTCGCTACAGTTTACATTTAAAATATACACGTTTGAGATATTCATCCTTAAAAAAATCAGCAAATATCTAGATACGATTTGTGGTTTTAATTAATTAACTAGTGACCAAAGAACTGAATTTATCATTTAAATTTATCACCCAAATATATTTCTTTATTGACTATAAGTAACGGTTATTTTAGAGGCTTTCAAGCTCTATAGTTTGTAAAAGACATGAGGTAGTTATCCTAGGATTATGTCAGACATGGGCGAGCTCCAGAATAAAACCACCGATCATCTCTTAGCAAGCTGGCCATCTTTCTGTTTTTCAACATGCCCAATTTTTCTTGTTTCCAACATATTTCAACATGTGTTTGCAGTTCTTCCAGCCATATTAGGATTGAAGCTCGTCTGTTTAACAAACCCTATTACTTCGGGAAAGTTATAATTATAACTTAAAGAGAATATAAATTTATATTACAACAAAAATAGTTTCGCTATTTCGTCAGTTCTCATTTTGGAAAATTTCCCTGAAAATGGTTCATAGTTTGAAAGGCTAACAAGCCTATAGAAGATATTCAGCATGGTAAAGGTTAAAGAGTTTTCTATTATGTTGTATTACAGAATGGATCAGGCAGCTGACATTAAAGAACTCTCGTCATTGATGTTATCAGAAGTTTTGAATGATATTGGCGTCAATGAAAGAATGGTGTTGAAAATGCGACAAGTAAACATGCTGAGAGAGACTATGAGTAATATCACACTCTGGTCAATTGGTGATAATATGACTACATATTATCTAGGGAGTCAGAGTGAAGGAACAACTACTGTCGGACTTCAGTCAGACTTAGATATACTATTCTTTGAAAATGACGTCAATGTTATACAAGACTGGTCAGAGTGGGAACACGGCAAAGTAAACTATTTGATGATACAAGATGAAAACACTACTCCTGGGTATTGTTTCCTTCAACTTCTCCAATCTGATGAACCTTTTCCTGCCATTGTGATTCCTAAAGAAGATCATATTACTGATAGAAATGGAAGAATATTGTTGAAAAACAAATTGAACAATGTTATTTCTCCAGATGCTTTTCAGATCGGTCCATCATTTGCTTTACATGGACATTCAGGAATGCTTGATGAAGATTTTGTGAAGTCTTTACCCTGTAAATCTTGGCCCCAATCAGCGTCTGTCTGGTTAGAGAAAGTAAGTGTAAGTAGATGGTTAACACAGGATATAAGAAGATATGTAGCTGGCACCGGATGTTTTGTTGTAGCCACTGGAAGTAAGGTCAGTAAGTATCCTGAACAAGAATGGAGAATATCTACTACACTGGCAGAGAGATGTCTTATGTTTAATTTGAATATAACACAAATAAGATGCTACGTTTTAATGAAAATGATTCTAAAATCTTACCTGAATCCCGAAGGTGAAACACATTTATCAAGTTTTATGTGTAAAACAACTCTGTTACATAGCATTGAAAACACACATCCAAGTATATGGAAAGAAAACAATTTGTTAGTATGTTTATCATATTGCTTACAAAAATTACACAATTATGTACAGTATGGTCATTGTCCCCATTTCATTATACCAGGAAATAATTTGATGGCAGGTCAGTTTACAGCTAGGGAAAGACACACACTCTTGAAAAGGATAAACAGAGTCATAAATAATGACGTACACATGTTGCTTAACATTTGCATTGACGATCTAGGATATAGATTGCAGGAAAAGCTGAATATAGTACCTCGAAGAGTGTACAATTTACAGACCTCTCTTGAAGTTAGTGAATATTGTTCAACTATCCATTATATTAACTTTGCAAACGCTATGAGTAGCAATCACAAAGGGGTTCTTATAATTGTACAAAATGAGGAAAATATTGGAGCGTTGAAGACAATTCTTTACAAGCTACTAAGCTACAGTTATAGAAGTAATGGACTAGAACAAGCCACGTGCAGAATTGTGGTATCACTTCTATTGGCAACATTTGGAACAGTTCTGGCATCATCCTGTATTGGTAAAAATAAACAAGTCTCATCTGAAGCATTAGACTGGTTATCAAAAGGCTTGGAATCAGACGTTACATCTAGCAGACTTAAACTTGCCTCAGTGTACTATTGTACAGGAGATATGGTAAAAACTGAATTCATTCTGAGATATATCGAAAATCAGTATTTTTCTGTTCCCATCTTACATTGCTGTAGCTGCTGGGATCAAACTCCACCAGAAGTAACAAAAGAATTCACGAGGATATGTAATGAGGAAAATGTTGACTGTGTCAAACATATTACAGCATTCTGTGTCAAGTTCATTAAGGCGGAGATCAACTGTGTTCCTCATGAACTACAATATGAAATGTTCAGATCTACACAAGATGATATGTTACATAGACATGCAACAAAAAGCAGAGGGATGGACTGGTCTATAATAGATTCACTAATTTACCTCTACTTCCTACAATATAAGACCTACCGTCAACTAGGAAAATTTCAAGAGGAACAACAGGCACTACGTAAACTTTCAAGAGCCATAGCTGAAGAGGAGAATCTTGGACATAGAGAAACAGCTTTAAATATTTTAGGACAATGTATGGAACAAGAAAACCGACCTCAGGCTGCATTTAACTGCTACATTCGTTCTCTACACCTACGAGCTAGAAATAATGCAGCAAGGGTACACATTTGCAGGCTTCTCTGTAAATTATCGGTCAGTAAATACAATTGAAGATCAAAAATATTATAGGGTTGATATTAATATAAACAATTAAGTTTAAAGTGACCATGAACAGAATTTACCACGAGTCAAGCTTACAGAATTTTTCCAAAATATCGCGTTTCGTTTATTTCTACTATTCTGTATCAATACAATAATGCACACTTATATATAGATATAATAATAATAATAATGAATTTTCAGAAAGGATTATAAAGAAAAAAGCACGTTCTTTTTGTTCTTATTCTTCTTTTATTATCATTATTTAGAGGTGGATTTGTTTTATTGATTAAGGTGGAATTCCCTAACATTAGGGAAATATACCACAGATTGTGCTATTCGCTATTGGAAATAGCGTTCACAAACTCAGCCATCTGATCATTGCCGTGGATTATCTTAAAATACATACATGTTTTTAAATAATAAAGTACATCCTTGGGGTGGGGTAAGGGAGGGGAGAGAGAAAAAGAGAACGAGAGGGGCGATGACTTGCATTTACCACAGCCATCTTTGTACAGACTCAATCAAAATATTTCATTGCGATGTTTAGGACGAACTTGGTGGTACCTTTTTTGAAATATTTTTTTTACCTTTTTTTAACATTTTTTTCTTAAAATGAGAATGAATTAAAAATGTTTTTGACATACTTGTTAACAAAATATGACTTACTTGTTATCTAACAAAGAAGGAAATAGAGAAAATAAGAATCTCTAAAGAAAGCCGAACACGACAAAATTGACAAGAGCCATGTTAGCATGGCCACCCCCCGCCGAATGTGTTTGTTGATTGGAAGAATGTTTATGTAGTAGAGCAGAATAATTCAATTTAAAGAGGGCTTTTAGTAATGAAAACTGATGGCTGACGTGATTATAGATTTGAAACCAATGTGAATACTGATGGCTGAAAATAACAAAGGGCAATAACTGAAAAATAATGCGAGTAGGTTATCATTCTTGCAGGCGGCAGTCCTTCTCAATAAGATCTAGCCACTTGTGAAGTATCAATTAAGTTGATACATTTAACACTTTTTGAGATAAGCTCCGGACAAAAAGTATGAAAAAAAAAAACAACAAACAAATGGCAATAACTCAAAAATTTATGAACGGTAGAGTTATCATTCCTTTGCATTGCACACCTCCTGAGTGAGATCTATCCACCCATGAAGTTTCATGTTGATATTTCAAAGGCTTTTGAGTTATACTTTGGACAAAAATTAAGTGGAAAATAACATAGGGCATAAAACTGAAAAAATATACAGCGTAGAGTTATCATTCTTGTGCACTGCACACCTCCTCAATGAGATCTTTCCACCTATGAAGTTTCAAATTGATATCTCTAACACTTTTTTACATAAGCTCCGGACAAAAAATATGAAAAATAACAAAGGGCAATAACTCAAAAATTATAAAAGGTAGAGTTATCATTCTTGCACACAGCATTCCTCCTCAATAAGATCTATCCACCTATGAAGTTTCATGTTGACATCTCAAGGACTTTTTGAGTTATCCTCCACTCAGGTGAAAAATTATGTATAAAACATAACAAAGGGCAATAACTCAAAAATTATGAATGGTAGAGTTATCATTCTTGTGCACTGTACACCTCCTGATACGCTCCCTTCGCAGCTTACTGAATGCACTCACGCTACTTCAGACAGTAAGCGATAGTGGAACATTCGACCGATGCGCAGAAGAGTAACCTCCTGAGTGAGATCTATCCACCCATGAAGTTTCATGTTGATATCTCAAGGCCTTTAGTGTTAAACTCTGGACAAAAATTAAGTTTGAAAAATAACACAGGGCAATCACTGCAAACTTTTATAGGGTAGAGTTATTATTCTTGTGCACTGCACTCCTCCTCAATATGATCTATCCACCTATGAAGTTTCAAATTGATATCTCTAACACTTTTTGACATAAGCTCCGGAAAAAAAGTATAAAAAATAACAAAGGGCAATAACTAAAAAATTATAAAGGGTAGCGTTATCATTCTTGCACCTTAAAAGATCTATCCACCTATTGAGTTTCATGTTGACATCTCAAGGACTTTTTGAGTAATGCTCCACTCAGGTGAAAAATTATGTATGAAAAATAACAAAGGGCAATAACTCAAAAATTATACAAGGTAGAGTTATTAATCTTGTGCACTGCGCACCTCCTGAATGAGATCTAACAACCCATGAAGTTTCATGTTGATATCTTAAAGGCTTTTTTAGGTATGCTCTGGACAAAAAGTTAAAAAAAATAACAAAGGGCAATAACTGAAAAATTATACAGGATAGAGTTATCATTTTTGTGCACTACACTCCTCCTCAATGAGATCTTTCCACCTATGAAGTTTCAAATTGATATCTCTGACATAAGCTCCGGACAAAAAGTATAAACAATAACAAAGGGCAATAACTCAAAAATTATAAAGGGTAGCGTTATCATTCTTGCACACAGCATTCCTCCTCAATAAGATCTATCCACCTATGAAGTTTCATGTTGACATCTCAAAGACTTTTTGAGTTATGCTCCACTCAGGTGAAAAATTATGTATAAAAAATAACAAAGGGCAATAACTCAAAAATTATGAATGGTAGAGTTATTATTCTTGTGCACTGCACACCTCCTGAGTGAGATCTATCCACCCATGAAGTTTCATGTTGATATCTCAAAGGCTTTTTGAGTTATGCTCTGGAAAAAAAAATTAAGTTTGAAAAATAACAAAGGGCAATACCTGCAAACTTTAACAGGGTAGAGTTATTATTCTTGTGCACTACACTCCTCCTCAATATGATCTATCCATCTATGAAGTTTCAAGTTGATACCTCAAATACTTTTCGAGATGTTCCTGACAAAAATGTCGGACGGATGGACGGAAAGACGGACGGACGGAAGGAAACATTTTCTATATAACCCGCCGCCGAAAAATGTTGCAGGCTCGGTTTGGTTGAGTCTGTTCATGGAAGGTTCTAAAAAGTACAAACTACCGTCCACGCCCCCTAGCACCAAGCAAAATTCAATATTTAACATGAATTGGTACAATTTTGAAATTTGAAACATCCGCAGATGTGTACATATGGCGGTTATCATGGAACCTTCAATGTGACACGTAAGTGCCATTCCATGAAAAGCGGCATATGGTCCCCAAGTAAAAAAAATGCGTGTGCCCTAAACGAGAAAACAATGAGCGGAACTAAATAAAATGGAATTTTGAAAGGGGATCAGAGGTTATGAAGCCTGCACAGATTGGACGTCAAAAGACAAATTTAACAAAAGCCACCGCCGGGCGGGGGCAACGCTCGACTTTTTACTTTTTCTAAAAGCGTGGTGGTGGGGGGTGGGAGGTGGTGGTGCGTGTTGGTTGGTGGGTGGGTGGGTGGATGGTGGGTGTTGGTGGGTGGTAGAGGGTGGGTGGGTGGTGGGTGGGTGGAGAAAATTCAGTAATTTAACCTTCAAGGTCAAGGTCATTAAAGAGCCAAAGTCAATTTGGGTTTGATAAACAACAAGGTCTTGTCCTAAAGAATGTTCTGTTATAATATGAAGTTGATCCCTTCAATAATAACAAAGTTACAGCCAATAATAGCCAAAAAAAAATGAAAATTTCAATAATTTGACCTTCAAAGTCAAGGTCATTAATGAGTGAAGGTCAAGGTCTGTCTGATTATTTTTAAGGGTTATCCTTGAAGACTATTAAGTTCAAGTTTGAAGACAATCCATTCAAAAATAACAAAGTTACAGCCAATAATAGCAAGAACAAGCAAAATTTGGACTTTTGACCTTGAAGGTCAAGGTCATTTATGGATGAAGGTCAAGGTTAGTGTGGTCTACTGAAAGGTCTTGTCCCAAGGGTTGTTGTGGCCAAGTATGAAGACAATACATCAAGAAATAAAAAAATTATGATCCAGGTACAAGTTTGCGGACGGCAACGGCAACGCCGCCGCGACTATCACAATAAATGTACCTCTACTTTTTTTTCAAAAAAGTCAAGCTAAAAAGCAGGCCACATATCCTAAGGGTGATTCAACATGATTCAAGTGAGGAATACTTGAACAACCCAACAAGAAAATACCCGAATAGAAAGAACCAAATTACCACAAGCACAAAAATAAAGCTGAAATGAAATGTGTCTATGACTGTCTGCTTACGAGTGGTGTTCAAATATGAATACAACTGGGTCAATTTTTAGAAGTGTTTAACAAACAGTGCCAAAATAATTATCTCAATCCTTCAAAATCTTCACCACCATGTGATATACAAAGTGTTAGTCCTTAATTTAATTCAATTTTTAATGCCTTTTCATAATCTTATCGAGGTATACTGTTCAGACACTTGAAAATAGCCGAACCGAATTTTTTTGCGTTTGATATTTTCTTCCAGCAAGCTGTTATTTCGAGTTTCGGAAATAGAAAAAAAAGTCACAAGGGGCAAAATCTGGTGAATAAGGAGGGTGAGTTTTCCTGTTTCAGATATTCACATACAATGACAGCTTTGTGTGACGAAGCATTGTTATGCAACAACGTGACACCTCGGAGACCAGTTGCTGGAAAAAAAAATTAATTTATGAAGGACCTTGCCTTTGTAAAACTTGGCATTTACAGATTTACCCTTTGGTACGGCAATTTGAATAGCAGGATCTTGATTGGTAAAGAAAATTACATACATGAGCTTTTTGACGCTCATCGTGCGTTTTGCTATGCATTGTCTTTGACTTCCTTTGGTTGCCCATATTTTGTAATGTATATTTCGCTTGGGCTCATAAAAGTGAACCCACGTCTTATCGCTAGTGATGAAATTTGCTGGTGATCAATTGTTGTATTTAGGGAACTGCTTCAACAATTCTTTGGAGATTATTAACCGAGCAAGTTTTTGCTCTTTTGTAAGGAGACGGGTATCCATCTGGCACTTATTCTTCTCATTTTTAAATGTATGAGCGGTTCCTAAAGAGATACCAACGCATGTAGCTATATAACTAGTTATAAATCTGCATCAGTAGCAATCAAATCCTTCACTTTTTCAACCTTTTTTGCGAAAGTTGCAGTTTTGGGAAGGCGTGCATGAGGTGCATCTTTTACTGAATCTACAACACTTTGAAATTTCTTACACCACCGTATGACAGATGAAAAAGAAAGTTCGTTGTGTCCATGAACACGACATATTCCGTTAAATATGTTTTTCGCCTGTATACCAAGACTACAGCGGTTCTTGATATAGGACTGTATTTCGTCAGCGAAAGGAGACCT